GGTGACTTATGGCCTTGGCCTCCTTGGGCAGAGAAAGACAGATACACACGTTAGGGAAAGCCATCACCCCCATCAGCAGGTTCAGCACAGCTGGAGGGGCACAGATTATCTCCCCAGGCAGCCTGAAACCTGAGGCAGGGCTCTGCTTACCTTATTTCAGAGGTAAGAGGAGGAGGCCAAACTCCATTTCCAGCAGGAAGCCTCCAGTGGGTGGAAAACCTGTGAGCTGAGACAATTTGGCACAGTTCTAAGCTAGATCTAATCTATCCAGACAGACCCATTTGTTGGCAGCTCCTTTGTGCTGCTAGTGAGGAAATGCACACCAGAACCATCCTGGCCAGCCCTCCCCATCAGCAGGAGGTTCTGTGGACAGCAGGAAAGTATCTAAGAGGCACAGAGAAGAGCTTTCCATATGCTGCAGGCCTCTAAGCATCCATGGGATGAAGGAACACAGGTCAACAAACTTGACCCACAGCTCCCTGGGAGCAAGACACAGACTGACTACTCCCATTAGAGGTGGAAAAGTCACTGTCTGGAGTGCCCACAATGCTAGGTATCTCCAGGGTGTCCAAGACAAGGGAAATAAGACCAGTCTAAGCATTTGCGCTCTGCACAGATCGTCCCTGACTAGTCTTGATGCTCTTCAGCACTTGCCAGAGAGCAGAGATGGCAGTGAGCACCAGCATAGGGGTGAAGGCTGCCACCAGTTCACTCCTCAGCCATGCCAAGCAGCGTGAGATCCTTCACTCTTGTACTCTTTGGCAGATTTCCTATCTCTTGATTCGTGCTGGTAGTTGTTTCCTGCACAGTCTCCAGTTAGTTATTTACATCTCACATGCTGCTGTGGTGAGCAGCTGTAGGCAATGACATGTAATTGCAGCAACACTCAGAGCAGGGGCAGCAGAGAATGCCTTCCGACCTGCCAAAAGCAGCTCCTAAAGCCCACAAACATCGCTCAGGACCCTGCATGCCTCTAGTTCTGACCAGCAGCTCTCAGGATGCAGTTACATGTCTGACCAGTTCCCTCCTGTCCCCATGCAGCCAGCATTGCTTCTTCCCAGGCACATGGTCTGGCATTTAGCAGTGCTGAGCTGCTCGACTGTGTCCATGTGCTGGGCAATTCAGATCCTATTGCTCCTTACTGCTCCTTCAGCCTCTGTTTCAGCAAGGGCTTTCTGCTGCCTTGCAGACCACAGAAACCAGTGCCATGGCCCGAACCCATTGCAGATGAGAGCTATGTATCTCAACTTACAGAGCATCCATGTGTCTATGTACATGTACTAAGAACTACACTTTATCAAGTTTGCTTAAAGTGATTAGAAGTCTGGGTAGATTTCCTACTTTGAGTGAACACAAACAGTGCAGGGAAAAAAAAGTGAGAGCTTCTGCTCCCAATAAAAGGAATTACTGTGTTAACACATGATATCAGGAATTATGGTGACTTACTGAAGGGAGCCTGTCATGGTTTGACACTGGCACAATGCCAGTGCCCCCCCATGAAAATGCAATTTTTAAACTGAATGATGTAAAATGCAATCGAGAACAGAGCAAAGCAGGCCTAAGCTTAATAACAAGAAAAAAAAAACTTTATTAAACTACTACTACTATGCTACTATAAAAGGAGGGGGGGGGGGGGGAGAAAGAAGAAAGAAACACACACAATTCAAAATGAAAATCTTCTAAAGCATTCCTCCTCCCACCACCTAACTCTAACAAACCACAGTGAGACACAATCTGGACTCCAATCAGGTTTCCACCCTCCAGATAATCAAAACCCAGTCCATCTGCAGGGAGAGAGGAGTCTCTTTTGTGCCACAGACGCCCCAAGAAACACAAATGCCACATCTTGTGCTTCTATGTCACCACATGGCACCGCCTGGAGAAAAAAAGTTTGCCAGTGGTGACCCTCTCCTTTCCATGCACAGTGTTCTCACTACTAATGCATGGATGGACAGACTGCTTTTAGGATTTTTCTTTTTAAGGATGCCCTGCCAAGAGGGGAAAAAACAACAGTTCAGTTTTTCATTTTTGGGACCAACAGTTCCCCAACATTTTCCCCTGGGGCCGAGGATCCACAAACAGAGATCTTCTTCTCTTCTTCCTCTCTGAAGACAGGGGGCACCACCACAAACCTCCTTAACTTTTCTCTGTTTGCTCTACTTCTGTCTTTTCCCAGCTGAAGCAGGTCTCTTGGGCTCACCAGCATCCTCCTAAAATACAGTCTCTCTTGGAGGAGAAGATCAGTTCAATCTGTGGTTACCAAGAAAAAGTCCAGCCAAAGGCCACTCCATCATCTCCTCCCACCTAGAATTTCTCCTTTCAACATCCCAGGTCCCAGGCTGTTTCTCTTCCTCTCTTTTTCAAACCAAGGAGGAGAAAAATTTCACAAAGCTTTCATTTCTCAGGAAGGGTTAAAAGTCCCGACTCCCAGAGATGGCTTGCTGCCCAGGCTCCAGCTCCCACAGCCCGGCTGGGCACCTTGCGGCCCCCCCGCTCTTCTCCTTCCCCGCGGTGAACTGCTGGCAAAACCACCGCTGTCTCTTTTTCTCTCTTGGGAGAGAGAGAGACTCTGGGGGGAACGGAGACATCCCAGATTTTCTCCACCCTTCCATCTGCAGGGGGGCCAGCCTGGTTCCAGCCCCTCTACCCTTGGGCCTACCTCCGAAGGCCACATGGCTTCTCCCCTGCCCCACCCAGCTCGTGGCCGGGCAGGGGAGAGTCCTGCACTGACCGCTGACCAGAACCCAAGAGAGCGAGTTCCCCTGGGAATTCTGCTTTTAACCCCTCTGTGTTCTCAGAGGCGTGTCTACCTTCAATTGGTTAATGTCCAAATTTACCCCTTCCTTCCGGAAAAAATTTTTTTCCGTGTCAAACCACGACAGAGCCCCATGCAGCTGATGGTACTGGGGGTTCAGGCACATAAATTGGAGACACAGCTGAGCACCCATCAGCCAGCCTGCTCCTCCCCAGGACAGAAGGTCACGGAGCCCATCTCCTGGGGATATGCCTCAGATCTCACACTCTGCAGCAAACCACCAAAATTCGGGGAAGTCCCTCTGCCTGCTGAAGCAGTTCATGTCTGTGTTGTGAAAGGACACTCAGGTTTGCTGAGCTGGATGTAGGCCACGGGAGACATCACTTCCCTTTTCCAGTACCCAAATTAACTGGGGACATGCTGGCAGTCTGCCAGATCAATAATAAAATTTGCCAAGACATCAACATCAGGTGGGGCTGCTGGGGCTTGTCCAAATCACAAGAAGGGTTTTCAGACCACTGGTATCTATTTTTCTCCTGCTTTCCCTCACAAGAGGCTTCAAGGAACATCCAAACTGCCTCTGTGCTCCCACCACTGCCATACCTCACTTCTGAGCAAGCAGCAAATCTTTGCACCTAATTACAGATAGGTTGGATTTTAAAATTATAAAACCTTAACCCCAAAATGAAGCCTAGAGCACCAAATTTGCATATACTGTGTTAAAATAACACCTGGGGGCTGTGAAATTACACTTTACATGGAAAACGTCAAGTGAGGGCTGCTCAGGGCCATTAGTGTATCCAGGGCACTCTGCCTTCTTCCAAAGGATCCCACAGCAACAGGACAGACACTGGATCACAAATGGGAGTTGTGAAGAAAACAGACATTTCCTGATGGTCACAGGCTTAGTCCTGCACCCTAAATGCAAGGAGATTGTGCTGGTTTCGGCTGGGATGGAGTTAACTCTCCTCGTAGCAGCTGTTGTGGGGCTGTGTTTTGAATTTGTGCTGAACACAGGGTTGATAATATAGAGGTGTTTTTGTTATTACACAGGGGCTTACACAGGGCCAGAGCCTGTTCTGTTTTTCTTAAGGCCATGCTGGGGAAGAAGTTGGGGGTGCATGGGAGGCTGGGAGGAGGCACAGCCAGGACAGGTGACCCAAACTGACCAAAGGGATATTCCAGACCACATGACATCATGTTCAGTATATAAAGCTGGAGGGAAGAAGGAGGAAGGGGGCGACATTTGGAGTTATGGTGCTTGTGTCACAATCTGCTCGGAGGAGCGGGGTGTCGTGATGGTTCATTTACTGATCCCAAAAGTGCAAAAGGCAAACAGCAGGAGACCATCCGTTTAATCACAACAAATGCACCTTTATTATAGAGCGTCAACAGCAAATGAGATAGAGGGATCAGAAAATGAGATAAAAGATAGGAAAAAAAAAGGGGGAAAGGGGATTATAGCTACCAACACAGATGAAATCCTCACTGGTCAGTACAATGGAGATCTGTCTTGTCGCACTGGGGAGAATCTTGAAGTCTTGGTTATCTCAGGGGTCTTTTATAGTCCTCCATCGAAGAGGGGAACAGGCAAAAGACAATGAAAGTCTATTGAAATCGTTGCGGGGGAACAGGTACAATGAAGAAATAAGTCCATTGAAGGCACCAAGGGGGAACAGATCGGCAGTGAGTGAGAGCCATTGTCTTCTTGGTCCATCGACCACACCTGTGCAAACATCTGGCATTGATCAGGCCAGCCCTCCTCCCTGTGGTGGGGGTCTCAGTCTCAGTCCTTGGTAGGGGGCTTCAATCTCCGTCCATCATGTGGTCATGAGGCAGATGAGGGGTCTTCCATGGGAGATCACCAGAGCTACCCCAGAAAGTTCATCTGGCCAAGAGATGGGAAAATCTGTGGGTTGAGCAGGTATCGTGAAGAAGGTGTAAGCACGTAGAACAAGCCACTCCTTGCCAGGTCCTTGCCAGGCCCTGCTCAAAGCAGTGGTCTGTGGTGGTACAGCAAATACACCTGCAAAAATAATCATCCACCTCTCCAAGCCAGAACTCCAATCAGGGTCTCCAGCATCTCAGTCTCTGCCATTGCGGCACATGTGAGGCAAAAATGAGGGGAACTTGGGACCGTCTCTTACAGCTTGTCTTCCCAAGCTGCTATTCCATGGGATGGGGCCCTGCTCTCCTGGGAGTGTTGAATACCTGCCTGCTCATGGGAAGCAGGGAATTAATTCTGTTTTTCTTTGCTTGTGTGTGTAACTTTCAGTTTCCCTGTTGAACTGTCTTTATCTCAACCCATGAGCTCTCCAGCTTTTACCCTTCAAATTCTCTCCCCGATACCACTGGTGGGGGAGTGAGCAAGTGGCTGCGAGGGGTTTGGCTGCTGGCTGGGGTTAAACCAGGACAGAGATGTATAAGTCATAGAATCATAGGATCATCTGGGTTGGAAAGGACCTTAAAGCTCCTCCAGTCCTACCCCTGCTATAGCAGGCACACTTTCCACTATCTGAGGTTGCTCCAATCCCCATCCAACCTGGCCTTGGACACTTCCAGGGATCCAGGGGCAGCCACAGCTTCTCAGGGTAACCTGTGCCAGAGCCTCCCCACCCTCACAGGGAAGAATTCTTTCCTAATTTCCATTCTAAATCTACCTTCTTTCAGGTTAAAGGCATTCCCCTTTGTCCTGTCATTCCACCATTACCTGATCTAACATCCTCCATGGGATGTCACTTCCCAGTTTGTTACAGGCAGTCTGCCATTTCCCCAAATGCATCTGGCAGCTGCAACAGGACAGACACAGTGAAGGGCCAGATGATCTCATGGTCCAGCCTGACCTTATAACAGCTTCTCTGCCTCCTTAGAGGATGACACCAAGGTCAAGAGGGGCACAGGACCCTCCCCAAAACTCAACGGGTCACTCAGCACCCAGGACAAGACTTGAAAAAATCATGTTTTCAAAAATGAAGGATTTTTCCTTCCAGAGAATTGCTTCACATGAAACTCCACAGATACATCTCTCCTTCTCCATATTTTATTTTTACATGGAAAAAAAAAAAAAAATCACAGCATAACAAAAAACCATCTGTGAGGAGCGCTGGACTCCAGGACGGTTTGGATGGATAGAGATGAGGGATCTCTGAACACCACCAGCACTCAGTATCTCCAATGTGGTACACACCAGACCAGGACATGTCCTGGGAAATTAATCTCCCTCCTGGGTAAAACATAGGTGTTGCTAATGCTGCAATTTGCTCTGCTGTATGCATCTCATCCATCAAAAAGGAACTGGAATGGGGGGATGTGAATTATTAACTCCTCATAATAATATGGGAGATGCTCAATGGACTCTCTAAAGCTGCACAACTCTTGCTAGGTGTGTGCTGCTGCCAGGACTCTGCTGAGGATACGGCCACACAGGATCTTGCTGGGCAGAAAGGCAGGAGAGACAGCCCCAAACAGGACAGGTGAGCCTGAACCACTCCTGATGTAAACATCTACATTGTCCTCTTTCAGCTGTGGTAACACTCCAGTAACAAGGCCCAAAGGCACAGCCAACAGGCTCCATGCTCATGTTCTGCCCTGTCTGAGCTGCCTCTGCCCTAGGACAGGACTAGAAATAAAGCAACTTCTCCTCAAGCCCTGCTGAACCTTTTTCCTCCCTTCACAGTTTTTCAGGAACAAAGAGAGATCAGATTCACTGTAGTGCTCCCTGCAGATATTGACTCACACATAAAGGCCAGGACACCAGAGCAGTCCCACAGCTTGTTTAGGACTTCCATAACTCCCAGACCCTACAAAGTCAGAAAATGGGGAACAGCTTCCAACTTCATCAACCTGTGGGCCAAAATCCACTGCTTTCCTCCCAATACATCTCTTCTGAATCCACCAAGACATAGTTGCTTTTTCTGTCATTATCCCCACTGCTCATCCAAAGTGGTATGCACAGTGCCCAGGCAGGCAGGAGATGGGCCCCAGCAGTTCACCCTCTGGCACCTCTCCTCTTGGGCAAGGGGCATCCCTGGTTTTTCACTTCTTCACCTGTAGAGAGAGTGCATTTCACTCTCTCTACAGATGGCCAAAGCCCAGTTTCAGGCTCTTTAAGCAGTGATATTCAGGGTTTGGAGGTGACCTGTCCAGGGCTTGGAGTTTTCCTTCAGCCTGGCAGTAACTCAAGATTTCTGCAAAGGTGGCAGCCCAGGAGCTGGGGAAGGCCTGGGAAGGCTCAGAGGAGCTTCCACAAAGGTGCACCTGGGCACTAGCACTAATCCTCAAAGCCTTGAGCACCATCTCCTGGTCATTCATGGATTTAGTGGCAACTTAACCTAATTGTTTCCTCCGTGTCACCATCCTCACAAAGTTTGCAGGGACAAACCATACAATGGAGCCCTTTGAGAGGTGCAGCACTTCAGCAGGGTTACTCTTATGCTTGCTGCCAGACACACAGAATGCCATGAGCTCCCCCAGCCCCTCTCCTGACAGCTCTGCTGCACTCTTCTTCCTTCCAAGTTTTAACGGGAACAAACTCTCACACTGGCATAGCCACATTGGCACGCTCCTGTGCCACCATCTCTGCCTGGTGGCACTGAGCAGCCGGTGCAAGATGCTTCTGGAAAGCTCCAATCCGTCCCCCTCCTGGGCTGCTGCGGCTCTGGGCAGCAGAATACAACAGGCACTGCTCACAGTGTGTTCCTGGGCTCCAGGATCCAGCAGGATCACCACTCTGTGTGTAAATATCGCAGTGGCAGGGTTCAACCTTTTGGCACGAGGAAAAGGAAGATAAATGCTACCAGTCCCCCCAGAGCCACAGGAACCCTGCATCTAATTACACTTCATAATGGAGTCAGCAAGCCATTAATTATCAGATTATATTTTAGGAAGCTGCAGATAAAAAAGCTTTATGAAATTTAGTCTCAAAGGAACTGGTGTGCACAATGAAGCTGTTGTATTATGCCAGTACCAGAGAAGCAAACTTTACAGCAGGTACTGAGTGCATTTTACAAGGCAGTGCCCTGTGTGCCAGGGGAAGGTTCACGTGCAGTCATAGCAGCTATCTCACACTCCAACACCTTCATTAGTACCACACCACAAGGGACACTGGCACACAGAGACAGCTCCTTCCCCTTTTTCAGCATGTCCCCGGTGAATCAGAGGGTGGCAGATCTCAGGGCTGTTTGCTCACAGAAAGGACGGCTGTGCCCAGACATGCCTGGGACCCTTCTTCCTAACAGATCCACAGCAGAAACATGGATGGGATCAGACCTGTGTGGCACAAGGTGCCATCCAAACAGTGCTGAAGTAATTTAGCACAACTCCCAGGAAGTCTCTACTGGAGAAGAGAGGCCCAAAGGTCAGCTCTTCAGCTCTGTGCTGGAAGAGTTCTCCAGCTGCACAACAATGCAGGTGAGAGGAGAAGGAACAAAGCAGCCCTTACACCTTGCAGAAGAAGATACCTGTGAGCACATCACTGATTCAGCCATAAAAATCTCCAACCTTAATTCTCAGGACAGCTTATTTTGGTTTCCCATATCCATAAACTCCAGCTTTGTCCTGTACCAGTCCTCTGCTCTCTACTCACAGCAGTGGAGGATCACACCTGATTCCCATCTTTTCCTCTGCTGCTTTATTTCTCATGTGTTGGGGGAGACAAGTGTTCTACCAGTGGCTGAGTGCAGGAAAACTTCTCAGGCAGTGAATGTCCATGAACCTCCCCTGTCTGTGGTTATGCTGGGCTTGCTGCATGCCTGGGATTGCTTTCCCAAAGGAGCCCCAAATCTCCCAGGTGGAGCAGGACATTGAGCTCCTGAACAACCCTAGTGGATACCAGGTGCCAGACCCAGGCAACCTCCCCTGTCCCTCACTCGATTTCTTCACACATCAGAGTGATTGTCATCAAACAACTTCTCCTTAGTCACTGCCACCACCTCAGAGCCAGTTTGGCTCACTTGGGATTTGGGCAATGTCACAAGTTTGGCATCATCAAAACCCAAGAGTCAGACACATACAGCACCACTTTCCCCTGGATCCCTTTGCTGCTCACACCTTTCCCAGCCTCAGCTCAGTTAATAACATTTAGCTTTACACTACAGCTTCTGCAATTACAACAGGCATGAGACTAATAGGAAACACCAAACCACACACACCAGTGATGTAAAAGAAGACAGGAGAGTAATTTAAATATTTCTCTCTACAAATTGCTATAATTTAGCTCCACAAGCAATTGTAGAAAGTAAACATTCTGTGATTATCCACTGAAGGAATGCCATCCCAGGGTATCCTGCACACTGGACTCCCTCATCCAAGGAACTCTTCTTGACTGATGGATGAGATGTTGAAGAGGATGAGGCTGGGTTCAAACCTAGCACTGGGCCTCCAACAAAACAGCTGCAGTGTCATCGGGTGTCACTGAGATGTTAATAACCCCTGAATAACCAGGCACCCACACACACACTGCCACTCCTCCTCCTCAGCTCCTTAAAGTCATGGCTGAGCTGCTTTCCCTCCAGCAAACCTGCTTCATGCCAGCACAGAAAACCCAGAGTACTGTGGGCTGGAGGTTTACCTCATAGACCCCTCCAAGAATGAGAAATCACGGAGCAGAAGGGAAACAGGGCCCACAGGGTGGATGTGGGAAGAATAAGAGCATGGGAGAGGAGGATGGGTGAACAGGGAAGTGGCTGTGACACAGAGCAGTCCTGATCTGCATAATCTGGGCAGTGGTGCCTGGGAGAAGGCCACCTTGGGATGCTCAGTGCTGAGGTGCCCCTCCGGCTTGCTCTGGGAGGAAAAGAGCTCACCGATGAAGGTGCTGTCTATCTGTGTGAAGTGCTGGCTGATGATGTGGCTCTGCAGGGCCCCCGGAGCAGAAGGCCATGAAGCAGTACAAGCAGCACAACATTTGGGAAGCTGTGGGAGAAGTACTGTATGAGTCTGGCCTGGGACAGCCAGGGCCAGCCTGAGAGCACAGGGAGCTACTCTCAGGAGTGGCCAGGGCACACAGCACTGAAACCCAGGAGGAACTGGCATGTGCTAGTGTCCCTTCTCCTGGCTGCACCACTGGCTATCAAACAGTTTATGGCTGCTTGGGTTCATTCTGGCTCCCTGCAGCACTGGCATTAAGAAGCCCAGCTGGTTTACCTGCAGCCGTGCTTGGTCCTGCTCACAGGAATCCCTTCTTCCTGTTCCCTCACACCATCCAGCATTGTTCTTTGTTGGCCTAGCTTGCATCTTCTGATCCAGCTTTTCCAAAATCATTACACAATCCAGCAGTTCTCCACTTTCAGAAAGAGCTTTTTCTAGGTCTTCTTTCTCATTCTCTAGGCTGCTGTTGGCTGCTCTGTTGGAGTGTGTTTTAAGTTTCCCCCGTTATGGTTACTCCCCGTCCCCCTCTTTTTGTAAAAGGGTCCAGCCTTCCTTCTCCTCCCTCCTCTGTCTGCCTGTCATTCCTCCCTCCACCAAGTTCATTGTATTCCTGCTGAGTTATCCCCCCCAACCCCACCCCAGAGTCTGCTTGTCTCTCAGAGACCTCTCCCTTCCACCTAGAAAGTTCCATCCAGGGCTTAAAGTGATAAGCTGGTCTCCGGGGCCCCCTCCCTCCCTCCTACCTCATTGGAAGTTTCCCCTGCGTGTCACCCCTGTTACCACCCCCAGGTGTTATCCCATTGCTTGGCTGCTGTTTCCTCCCCCTGTTGCCACCCCCCTTTAAGAAAGCAGGGCACACGGTGCCCGTCGCCTTTTGAAGCTTATCTTGTTCGAGCCAATAAACTCAGAATTCTGATACCTCCCGAAGGACGGCTCCTTGCTTTTGTCAGAGTCACTCTGCGTGTCTTTCAGTCTGGTGGCTTCCACTTCCCACAGGCCACACCTCGTGCCCATGGCGGCACAAGAGAGTGGCCTTTGCTGCCGCAGTGCTAAAGGTTCTGGGCTAGCCGAGACTTGGTTCCATAGCAACAGCCCTGGTGGCTCCATGGTAGAATTCTCGCCTGCCGGCAGCCAGGATCCGAATCCCGGCAGGGGTGTAAGCGAGACTTGGGAAGGCACAGTGACACTGCTCCCTCCAACGTCTCCTGGTTTATATTCTCTCCTGCTATCCCATGCTCCGCCATGGGGACCCACCACTTAGCCTGGTCCGCCAGTTCACTCTGCCCTTACAGCTTGTAAACTTGCCAAAGCGTGGAACTGCATGATTTTTGAAGTCCCTTCCAACCCAAACCCAAATTCTATGATTTAAAGGGTCCTTGACATGGTGTCTCCAAGACCAGGTTTGTCTCTCATCTTTCTAGTGCTACACTCCCTTTTTCTTCAGTCTCCCACTAGCTATGTAGACAAACCCAGTGCTTGGGGTTCCATCCATCATCTCCTCATGCTGTTGTGTCCTCTCCTACACTTAGCTCTCTTCTCTACTGTAACAATCAAATCCATTACTTTCCATTATTCCAGTAGGTCCAAAAGCTTTACATGTCCCTGCCTCACCAAACCCAGTGTTTTCCAGTTCATCCTTACTTTCTGTTTCTTCACACTTTTTCCTTACCATGTCCCTCTTCACCCTCCTGCTTACATTTCTGACATCACCAAGCGAAACCATCACTGCTCAACAGGTAACCTGAACAGCAGCAAAAGTGGCAGAGCTGAGTGCTTGCACTTCATGTGAACCTGCAGGAGAGCCAGTGTGGGGAACAGCTTCATGCATGACTCACACTTGTGGAACTTCACATCTGCAAACAAAGCCAAGAACACAAAAATATGCTCTCAGGGTCTTTCACAAGAGACCTTCTGGACCATAGCTGTCTAGTATTTCATCACTACCACACCTGCACACAGGCATAGGGATAATCCTCAGAGGAGCAGCCAGGAGCACGCGAGCTGCAAGATACTGAGATGAGCCAGAAGAGACTACTACAGTTCACAAGAATCTACTGTGATATGCATGAAAATGGGATGTGCAACCTTGTGCTATCAGAGTTATAACTGGATTGGTCTCTTCTCCCACAAAGCAAGTGATGGGACAAAAGGAAATGGCTACAAGCAGCACCAGGGGAGGACTAGGCTCTGTGCTCTTCCACATTTTCATAAATGGCTTGGTGATAGGACTGGAAGAAACATGAGGCAAGTTCACAGAAGATACAAAACTGGAACTGCTGCCTCCCTCAAAGGCAGGGAGGCCCTGCAGAGAGACCTCGACAGAACAGAGGACTGGGCCATCACCAACCATGTGAAGCTCAACAAGGGAAAGTGCCAGATTCTTTACTGGCCATGGGGCAACCCTGGATGTGTGGGTGGAGCAGGGAACAAGAGGCTGGAGAGCAGCTGCAGGAAAGGACCTGGGGTCCTGGTCAATGGCCAGCTGGATCTGAGTCAGCAATGCCCTGGCAGCCAGGAGGGCACCCATGTCCTGGAGGACATCAGGGACAGCACTGGCAGCCAGGCAAGGGAGGGGAGCTGTGCTCTGCAGTGGGGCAGCCTCACCTCAAGTCCTGGAGCAGAGCTGGGCAGCACAAAGTAAGAAAGATATTAACTATTTAGAGTGTGTCCAAAGGACTGTCATAGCAATGGTGGAGGGCCTTAAGCAGAATCCGTGTGAGGAGCTGGTGAGGGCACTTTGTCTATTCAGCCTGGAGGAGACTGAGGTCAGACCTCATCACAATCTACCACTTCCTCATTAGTGGAAGAGGAGGGGCAGACACTGATCTCTTCTCTGTGGTGACCAGTGACAGGACTTGGTGGAATGGCCTGAAGTTGTGTCAGGGGAGATTTAGGTTGGATATCAGGAAACAGGCTTTTCACCCAGAGAGTAGTCGGGCACTGGAACATGCTCCCCAAAGAAGTGGTTCCAGCACCAAACCTGACAGTGATCAAGAAGCATTTGGAAAATACCCTTGGGCACATGGTATGAGTCTTGGAGATGGTGCTGTGCAGGGTTAGGAAATCAGACTCAATGATCCTTGTAGGTCCCTTCTAACTCAGCATATTCTGTGATCAGGGAAAACTTCTTTGTGAAAAGTATGGTCTGGCATTGGAACAAACTGCCCAGGGCAATGGTGGAGTCACCATCCCTGGAAGCATTCAAAAACGTGTGGATGTCACACTTGGGGACAGGGTTTGCTGGTGCACATGGCAGTGTTGGGTTAATGGTTGGACTAGATCCCAGAGAGCTTTTTCAACCTAAATGATTATGTGATTCTCTCTCTCCAAGCGGTCACAATGGATTCTTACCTGTGTGCTCTGCCTTGACATGTTTTTGGAGAGCAGCAGTGCTGGTGAAGGTTTTGTCACAGCAGCTGCACCGCAGGGAAGAGAACTTGGAGGAGTAGTGATTCTGAGCTGCAAAGACATCAGGGTGGTGAGTCCTGTTGTGATAACACAGCCCTGACAACTGCTGCAATGACAAGGATCAAACCACAGTTACCATCCAGAGCTGTTGGATTTAAACCGAAAGAGAGCAGGTTCAGATGGGATATTGGGAAGGAATTCTTCCCTGGGAGGGTGGTGAGACCCTGGCACAGGTTGCCCAGAGAACCTGTGACTGCCCCATTGTTGCCTCATTTCTGTTTACAGAGAAAAGCAAGGCACAACTTTTTCCCAAGGATTTACTGGGAAAGGCAGTGAGAAGCCTCAGAGAGAACAAGAGAAAACAATTCTTATCTGCTCCTGTCTTTGCCTCACATGGAATGTGTTATGGAGATTGTTTACCCAGGGTGATTGCTTGATTGGATTCCGGTGAAGATTGTTTGGATTCATGGACCAGTTGAATCCAGCTATGTCGGACTCTCGAGCAGAGAGAGTCCCGAGTTTTGTTAGCAGTAGTTGACAGTAAGTAAGTAAGTATGATACAGTATGTCTTTAAATAGTATATTAATGCAATATAGTATAGTTTTAATAAAGCAATCCTTCAGCCTTCTGATGTGGAGCCAGACATCATAATTTCTTCCCATTGGGGGTCACCTGATTTCCGATACCTCATCCCTGGAAGTGTCCAAGACCAGGCTGGATGGGACTTGGAGCAACCTGGGCTAGTGGACAGTGTCCCTGCCCATGGCAGGGAGTGGAACAAGATGAGCTTTAAGGTCTCTTCCAACCCAACCAACTCTGACATTCTATGATTCTGTTGCAGGGACAGCATGACATCCAGAAACCATTGGAAAGCAACATAACAGGGGAGTTATGCTCAGCAGATACAAGACCTGCTTGTCCTCCCACTGGACAAGCACTAACACCCCACTCTGTTTCTCCATTGTCCCTGATGAGCTGAATACAGCTGAATACAGCTGATCCTTGTCTCATTCACTGCAGGTCTCCTTTTGGTGTGAATTCTTGCTCCCTTGCAGCAATGTGGAGGTCTGCCACAACATTGTGAGCTGCCCCAGGAAGGGCAAAGAGATTTGGCTCCTCACACGCATCCTGCTAAAGCAGCCAGGAACTGGAACAGCTTGGTTATTTTTGGGGACTTTCAAATTTGCCAGTAGCCCTACTTTTCCTTGATGAGCTATGTGGAAGAACTAATTAGGGAAGAACTAATTAGAAAGTGGTTGTGCCAGTGGGGCAGGAAAAATGAGCTGAGCTGTGTTTCTCACACATGGAGCACATTTCTCTCACACAGAGCTGAAAGAAGGAAGAGGACAAGATTTCAGACTCTTACTTTATTATATTGTCCAAACTTCTGTCTAAACACCTCTGCTCCCAGCAACCCTACCTGAGGCATAAGCAAAACTCTCTTGCAGATGTCACATGCCATGGGGAGCCTCTTCTTTTTCTTTTTCTTCTTGGCTATCCCCACCGTGGACCTCCAGCTGGCTTTTCTCCAGCTCATTCTTTGTCAATTTGACCTCCCCACACTCTTTACACTGGATCTGCTTTCCTCTGGCAACCTGACAGTATTTCATGTGCACCTTCAGGCAGCAGTAGAAGTGAAAGACCTTATCACAGGCTTCGCAGACAAAGCTCTTCTTGGAAGAAGCTTTGCCTTGTGATTCCTTTGCTTCTTTGGCACTGGCACCTCCTGCCTTTTCCTTATCTTTTTCCAGAACTTCAAACTGGGATTCATTGTTCACCTTCCACCTCCTGATTCCAGGTTTCTGCCCTCTTCCCTCAATCAAGAGACCTGTATAATTACTGTTTTGGTGGTGACCAGTAGGACTGAGCACCTGCCCCTCTGTCTCCCATCTCCTGAATGCTCCTACATAGTTTTCCCTGCTCAGACGCAGCAGACATGCATCAGACATGTTGTCCCATCACAATGGTGACACACAGCTCTGTGCAGAAGTGGTTCTGGCCATGCACAGTTAAAAACATAAAGACTGATCCTTGAATTTCTCCACCACACATGCAAGGGTCTGCATGAGATACTAAGAGCCAGGGCCAGATTTTCCTAAAAGCTTGTTTCTCAAACTCGTTGTTTCTAAGCACTCGCCTCCTGCTCAGACACAAGAAGTTACAGCCATGTTTGCAGACCTGAGCCTCAGATATGATACTGTCAAAATCTGCCACAAAGAGTGGATATACAGCCCTTAATTACAAGAAATCTCAGAAACACTCCACAAACACAATCCCTTTGAAAAGGAACAGAAAGTCTTGCTACGACCCTTTTGAGTCCTCTCATCGGGGCCCTGAGGTATTTTAAACCAGTCATTATGTTCATTTCTGAGAAAGCGAAAATGCCTTCCTGAGTCCCTCTAACACCATCACCTCAAAAAGCACAAGCAAGAAAATTCACCCACAATCTCAATCTACCAAAAAGACCCACAGGAAATGTATGTATGGGAGAAATCAAAATACTAACAGATACATTTGTCTTCTTTACTATAATGAGAACCCAGAACTGTGTGGCCGTGGAAACTGGCACAGACTTCTCCTTTTGCCACTACACAGGAAAACTCAGCCCATGCTTGAAAAACTTAATCTCTTCCTTCCTCTCTATGGGAAGAGCTCAGCACAGTGTCCCTTCACACAGCACCACTGCCCCAGATTTCCAACCAGTTAAAGACCAGATGACATATTTCAATGGATCTGGAAATCTTAAGACAGTAAGTGGTGATCCATAATCTGCAAATACATCAAGGGAGAACAGCAAACTGGAAAACTGGTTTCCAGTGTGTCCTGTTCTGTCAAAGTCACTAACTTGTGACCTCTAAGATTTCTTTCCACATCCCTTCAACCAAGCCTGTCAGTTTTTTTGACCTAAGTGAAGAATGATTTTTCAATCTACCAGTGAGATGGTAACTGTCCTTTTTTTTAAAGCAAGACCATGGAGAAGAAAAGGCTTTTTTATAGAGCTCTTGACACATTTCTGATATTTGAGAATAAGAAGCAGTCTTGACAAACATGATCTCCTAAATGACTAGAGGGCCCTAGAAAGCAGACAGCTGGGGAGGAGGTTATGGAGTTGGCTGAAGGAGCCAAACCCTGCCCTTACGTGCACCAGCTGCCAAGAGTGACAGTGCTCTGACTACAGCAGGGTTCAAAGGAGAAGCCAAGAGATTCCATGTTGTACCTCTACCAAAGAAACCAGTTAATTACTTGCAGTGCTAAGCATGGTGGGATGCAGTTTCTTCCACAGGGATGCTCTGTGTCTTCCAAGTGCTTCAGTTCACCTAACTTAATTACCAGAAATTTTTGAGGGTTTTTGCAGTAGAGATGCAAAAACTGGTGTTTTCCTGTGGATGTTCAAATGGAACGTATCTCTATTCAGCACATACATTCTCAGAAATGTAAGGTCTCCTCAGCTTTAATAGGAGGCTCACACCTCTCTGACATGAGGCCTGCAGTTATCACTCATATCTCATGCCAAAAGCCACAAGGTCCATAAAGTCACCTGCAATGTGTGGGCCTGGTAAGCAGTGATGTCAGAGCTGAGTAGACTGGCCTCAAAATTAAGATATGGAAATTCAGTGGAAAGATCTGTAGGATTCCAGAAAGAAGCTGGTACCTGGAAATCCTCTTCTGGACACTTCATCTAGAATAGATGTTTTTGCCAAGTAAATAACATTTTCCAGGGCTTTTGTTTTTGATGATGCTTCTTGCTTGATTTCATCTCAACCTTGGCTCAAAGCCCTGAAAAGCCACACAGTGGCAGCAGTCTGCTCTCTTTGATATTGCTGCCAGAGAGGCAGCAGCTGCCAGAGCAGTCCCACTGACTGCCCAGGCCCCTCTGTTGCACACACTAAGGTGTCCAGGAGTTCACTCAGGCTGCGCATTCACAGACACATGAACTGTCGGCTCATCTGCACCAGAGTCATCAGGGCATCGGCCCTGGCCCATCCCACAGACACACAGAGTCAGGGGGACTGGGACAAGTGCCTGCAGCATCAGAAGGGGACAGAATCAATGGCAGATAAGAAAGAGTCACCCTTTCTCTAGAAATCAAAGCCATGACCAGGTGAAAATGCCAGCTGGATTGGTGGCAGCTCTTGGTACAGCTAGAAGAGAGGACGTAGATCTGAACTGGGAATGAATATTGGATTTGCAGCACAGGACCTCTCTCAGGAGACCTGAGGCAAGGAATGGGAATGGAGCATGTGCTGTCATCCTTCAAGCCCTACAACTACAGCTGTCATCACGTGTTGAATATAGGTAAAACTTTATAAAATAAGGGCTTTGTTACCCTTGTAAAATCACAGCTCAGGCCTGCTACTTTGGCTAAGCAGAAGGGGACTATGGGAAAGTGACTCAGCTGAATTGGAGGTAGAAAAACAAGTTATATAACCATTATGTGCTCACATAGTGGTTTATGGTGGTTGGCTGAATTATATTTGTTATACTTCAATGGACTGCAACTGATAATGTCCTAACTGCGTAAAAAGGCCTGGTTTTTGCAATGAAGAAGCTCTCCTTTGCACCTGCCTGGGGACTCTGCGTCATGTTGCTTTGTACAATCAAAATCCTTGGTTTCTTCTAACTGTTGCCCTGCTCCCAGTCACCCACTCCCACCTTCCACCCCAGCAGCACTTCCTCACTGCTCCAGACCATAGGCAGGCCAACAAGCCCAGGGTTCAGAGGGTGACCTGCCCCCAGCATATGGGAGACAGGCTTTGCCTGTCCTTGCTACCCATGAAATGATGGCAAGTGTCAACATCATGAGACTTGTGTTCATTCATAAAGACCAGCGGCCTTGACCCAAATTTGCAGATAAAGTAATCAAATCTTCTATCCCTAAAAAACCCCGACACATTAACAGCAAACTGCTTTTTGCTCTAACTCCCCAGAAATCTGATGGCATTTTCGCACTGCCTATCAGCTAAGCCGCTCTGGCACCATGAGAAAATAGGAATGGATTGAGCCTGTACTTGGCTAAAAACCACACTGTGCACATCCCAGAGGACTCTGCAATCCAAATAATTGGGATATGCTGACAAATGATGAAAATATATGTAAGCAAACAGAATAAGCAAGTCACATTTGCATCCTTTCCAGGAAAACACACACCTGCAATATCCTTCCTGACCCTCTGATATCCCTGTCATTAAAGCACCAAATCCAGTTAAGCATTTTTCCTTCAAATGATGGATGCAAAGTTACAATTGGGCTCAGCTGGAAATCTCAGGGCAGCACTTACCTGTGATTATTTCTCTGCATTTTTTATGGAGTTAAAAAATTGCTGTCTGTATCTGTATTGTCCATAACTTTGCCAAACTAGAATAGCATGTAACACTGTCCTACTGCTGTCAGACCATAATAGGGGGGTATTTATCTGTAAAGTGCATACAGAGCAAGACCAAATTAAAGCATTCTAAGAAAATTAACTCAGAAAATAGTCTGGGACTACAAACTACATTGTCATGGTCATCTTTGCACTAGACGAGTGTGCTCTGTCATGACCTTTCCTCCGCATATCTAATCTGAATCTGCCTTCTGTCAGCTTAAGGCCATTTGGCCTGGTCTTGTCACTCCTTGCCTGTAAAAAAAGTCCCTCTCCAGCCTTCCTGTAGGCCCTCATTTATATAAAACACCCAATAAAATATCCAGCACGCTGTCACTTCAGCAAAGGGGCACTTCCATCTTCTAATGGCTTCCTTAGCTTAAACAATGACCCTTGATCTTAGGGCACGCTGGGACCTGTCCACTATGAGAACATCCTATCATACCTCTTTCACTGCTTCCCTGAGCCCTCCCTCCCCCAAAGCCAAGCCCTTCAGGTCCTCTCTTTGCTGGATGCCCTGACGATCAGCTTGCCATGCGCAGAATGCTCTCAATAGCTGTGCTCTCACTGATGGACACTGAAGGTGAAAATAAAAAGCAAAGGTATTAAGAACACACAAACCCAAGAAGAGCCTGAAGCTGACCTGTTAACAGGAGTGACTTCTGCATGGCACAGAAAACAGCAAACTACCACATTCAAGCTTTGGTTGTACTAATTGCAGCACGGACATCCAGCATGAGGTCCTTGCAGACCTCCCTTCTCACTGCTTGTACAACTTCAGGCAAGAAGACCAGGTTTTCCAAGGTATGTTGCTGAAAGAGACAGTGACAACTTCAAGAGGCAAGGCATGGTTCTCCCAGGACTCAGGATTTCTTCTTTCGCTAGTTATCGAGATTCCAACTTCTGCAGAGAACGGGCATTCCTAGGCACAATTTGCCTCATCTGAGGACCGCCACATGAAAATTGGCTGGATGCAGCAGGGACCAGAAGCGCCATTTTTTCCAGTCAGAACACAAAGGGGATGGGGGAGATCAGATGGAGGCACCTGGCTGCAGGTGAACCCCAGCTCTGTGCCCACAGGGCCAGCACACAAAGTCAGGCTCTGCTGCAGAGACCACCAAAGTGACTACTCCTCACACTTGTGTGAGAGTTTGACAACAATTTAGAGGTACAAACACAGTTTAGGTTTTAAACCAGGAAAACTGAAAGCCAAGGCTATGGAGAGGGCAGGATGGTAGCTGCACAGATGCCAGAGCTCACCTCTAGGTCAGGGGTGGCTCCATGTGGTGGAAAAGTCTCTCCTCCAAGCCATGCTTCCAAAGAAAGGCTCAGCAGTCTCTGTTGTTCGGTCTCAAGGCAGTTTATTGCAGTTATCTAAAAGATTTTCTTCTGGGGCTGCTGTGGTTTGCTCACAGCTCAGGCAGAGGCACACACACACCCTGACATCCTCTCTGACTCCCGACTGCTTCTTCTCTGCCCGCCCAGGGCTGCTGCTGTCTTTTATATGGTACATTACGTGTTACATGGGTACAGTTTTTCCCCAATGCCTATTACCTATATTAAGTGGTGCTTTTCTATCTTTTATATGGTACATTACGTGTTACATGGGTACAGTTTGTCCCCAATGCCTATTACCTATATTAAATGGTGCCTTTCTACTCTAAACCAATCTGTGAGTGCCAACATCACTAAGAACATGGAGGTAAGGAGGAAGAAAGAGGGAGGACAGGACAGGCCCTAATCCCTCCATCTTAAAACTTCTGACCCTCAGGTACAAAACCAAAACCCCCCTGTACAGCACTCAAAAATTCTTCCCTTTACTTTGTGACTACTTCTACTATAATATCTAAACTTTTGTGACTTCTTGTTCTTCCTGCAAGGTTGGTAAATCATTTCATGGTTCAAACCCAAAATCACAGCTGTTTCCAGCTGCCTGCCAGGGTCTCAAATGCTTCTGACCTGGGCCCGGAACATCAAAAAATGTCTGAGGGACATTTTGAGTTCCGACACACAGAGACGTCCGATGAGCCCTGGGCTCTCAAACTGATGTGCCTCCAGCTGACTGTTACCACAGAATGGTGGCCAGCTCTCAAAGGTTTGCTCATTATAAAACCTGCACAGAGCCACAAGCAAAGCAGCTGTATTTTCCAAAGTGCTTTTCCAGCTATAACTGTTTCACCAAGGACACGGGTGTCGAGAGCCACTGGAAGAAAAGAGGTTACTGGCCAAGGAGGGATGAGGCGTTAGAAAGCAGCTGCTGCCAGCAGCAGGAGAAACTCAGGGAAAGAGTAGGAGAACACTTGTGAAGAAGAAAAATTCCGAGTTGGGTTGTTTCTAGATATCCTTCATTAATAGTTTTGGGGATGCAGATTTCTGCACAGCCATTAGCAGCTGCCAAACAGCAGAGACAGACAAGGACTGCTGCTCCAGCACTGCCAACACAAGGAAGGTGAAACCACCACCTCCTGCTTACAACCTGCTCCATCACCTTAGAGACCCTCAGGGAGGCACTAATATGATCCCCACCCACCTGGCTCATGCATCACACTCAGACACAGAATCCCCCAGAACTACAGAATATCCTGACTTGAAAGGAACAAGAGCATGACCGAGGCTCACCTAGACCCAGCCTGTCCGTGCTCCTATCTGCTACAGACCTGGCTCACAGTGGTGAAGTGGTGACCACTTTGAACTTTAACATATCAGCCATTCCCTCAGCTTGCTGTGAACAAGCATCTCTCCTTAGAGCCCAAATCAGCCACTCTTAGTTGCTAATTTTCAGCTTCATATACATTATCCTGCCTTACTCCCACTACAGAATACTAAAGAATCATTACACCAAGTCCTGCTGGAGGACTGCCCCAAACTCAGAATGGCAGGTAGTAAATCAAGTCCTTAAGAATTCCAGTATTTCTCCCCAGATGGGGATGAAAACTCTGCATCTGCTTGCACAAGTGCAGGAGCCTGTTCTCTCTCTCTGCAGGAGCCAGGCTCCATGCAGCAGAGATGCCCGGCAGCAGCACCTGAGTGTCTCTCAGGAGCTCCATAAAGTTCTCTCAGTATTGTCACAACAGTTTGGCCCTATAATCCTCTGGGCTCCATTTGCCTGAATTCAGTGAATGGAAAAAGGAACAGCTCAGCTTGCAGCATCTTCCCAAAGTGTCGCCCTGATTTTTTAATATTTTCTAAAGCCTTCTGAGTTTACATTCTTGTAGCAAATTTTCTCACACAACTTTCTGTAAATAACCTATTGTTTTGCATTCCTTCATAGAGACAGAGAAATTTGATGGACTTGTAGTTTGTCCAGTGTCGTTGGAGAGGGGGCACATTCACCCTCTAATCCACTGTCACCTTTGGAAAACTACAAATGCTAGAGTCAGAGAAAATAAAATTAGTCTCTTTATCGTGACAATAACAGTGACTGTGTTGTGCTTTCTCGTGTCCTCTAGTGACATAAAGGGCTTTAAAGGTAGGGGAGACAGGAAAGGCCCAGGCACCCAGTCCTCCCTAGGTCACTAATGCTCAGGGCTTTATGCTCGGCACACCCGGATTCATCTTCAAGCAGAGGATGAACATGACAAATCAGAACTTCTCTAATGCAGAGACAATACAGAATATCTTCTACCCCCACGTGCAAAAAGAAATGCATCTTTGGCACGCAAATGTCTCCTGAGTATCAGTCCCAGTCTGAGCCCAGAGGAAAAAAGTCTCAGTGTTCTTCAGATGAACATGTTGCCTTGTCTGTGAAGGCAACACTGCCAACATCTCAAGACGTTTACCAGCCTCTTCTGATACCCTGGAATTACAATGACTCCATTACTGACTCTTAACTAGAGTTTCGTTGTAGGAGGTCTGTAAGTCAGTGTTTGATCCACTCCACCGAGAAGGAGCTCAGAAATGCTCTGGATCATGTCCCTCTCATGACCTTGTATGACTATCAAACACAACAACATTTTACACTCAGGTGGTCCAAGGTAATCAAGAACTCAGTGGGCTGAGTTGCCCTTGGTGAAAATGTTAAAGGAACACAAACCAGACTTGCAATTGCAGAGCAGCTGTAGTATCTTCTTCTCACTCTTACACAAAAAAAAATGCAGCTTTAACCTTACTCCTTTCTCCTATCTAATTCTAAGCTAGATCTGCTGAGTTTGCCTTAATGAATCAGAAAAATAATTACTCCAGAGTAAAATCCCAACCCTTTAAAGACACCCCAACATCAGGACATGATAGGTTAAGTCAGGAAGAGGAACAGTGTTTATCCAGGATAATGAAGAGACTTGGGGAAAATCTACTGTGTCCCAAAAGTAATCTAGGATTGTTCTTGTCACTTGATAAATAAAACTGGAAATTGGCAAATATATTAATCTGAAAAGGATTTTTTCACCATTGCAGTTACTAAGTTGAAGAAGATGCACAGTTATACTTCAGTGGGAGAAACCAAACTGCAAACCTTCATCCCAGACATCCATGCATGATTTTTGTGCTCGTGTCTTTTAATCATTCTGGTTTGGTATCAACCAGAACAATCCATCATTTTCACAGCACTACGTGGGAGAAAAGCAGGAAGCACAGCTTGGGAAATAAAGGTAAAGTCTCTGGGACTCAGAAAATACACAGTGCCATGTAAGAAGAGAAAACTCCCTGGGATGGGAAGGAAGCAATAGCAGGCTCGGGGGATATTCAGTGGAAGATTCTGAGCTACTATGAACAGCTCCCTGAAAAAAGACTTCTTGGAGACATCAATCTGATTCCCAGCAAAACCGAGGGAAATTCACAGATTAAATATTTTCCTTCTTCCATCAGAATGCTTCTGATTTTGTGACAAAATTGAGTTGTTATGAATGCCCTCACTGCTCTGCCACCATGCCAAGGTGATCTCAAGAACCAGCACATACCATGTGCCACAGTGCAGGACCTCCTGCTCCCCATTAGCTGGACAGCATGGGACACCAAAGGTACCACCAGTTAATTCATCAGTTGCCAGCAGACTCAAATAATCCCCTCCCTCTTCATTTTCATTGTAAGAAATATCTGTGCTTCTGTTTGTTCAAGCTGCAATTTGAGGAAATTCAGTTCTGTGTAATTAAGTAATGCTCCTCCTTGGAATGGGTATTACCATGAGATAATTACCCATGCTGGGAATCTGGTGTTTTGAGAAAGCAATCATGCTTAACAAATGACAAAGCCAAGTGCCTGTTGGGAATGTATGCTACAGAGGAAATTATCAGCATTATGAGTGCAGTTTTGCTTTCTATTAAATCCTCATTTACATTTCACTGCATGTTAATTTAGTTTTAAATTTTATATGACTTCAGAGTATCTTGATCTGAATTGTTCAGGGTGCACCTAAACCTATCTAAACTTGGAAGGTTGTCCCACTAGGTAAAACATGGGGGCTCCTGAGTCCCTGAGCCATCACAGGCAGGGAGCAAACAATAAAATCTCACCAAAATGAGTAAGAGGAGTGGCCTGGCCATCCAACAGAATGATGTGTAATGGGGACACTAAGTGTAGGATTCCCATCAGCACACTGCTCCACACAGGAGACCATGAGTCAGTGACCAACACAAGCAGAAATGCTACTTGGTCAAGGAAAGAAGCACAGCTGAAATAAATTTTTCCCCCATCTCCTTCAATCACAAGGAATTCCAAGTAAGATACTGTATTTAGCATCAAGACATCTCCAGTTTAGGGGATTTTTTAGGTATTTGTTTTCAAAGGCAGTCGCTACCATACAGTAAAGTTACCAATGGAAGTTTAGTTTACTTATACCTTTACCATCAGAGATGTTTAAACTTGCCACCAAGTTGTCCAGCAGAAGCTGGAGTCCAGGGAAGGATCCTTTCACAGCCCGCAGAAGTTTCCACTTTCAGGATCTTCTCTTCATGCACCTTCCTGAGCAGATTGCCCATGGCTTCCCTCTGAGAGCTGCCTTCACAGCAATCCAAAGCTACCTGTAACAAAGAAACAGACACAAAACTCTGACAGCTTCCTACAAACTCTTGGATTTGAGCAGAGATCAGAAAAACTGCAAGAGTCCCACAATACTGCACTACCCACTCCTTACACAATTTAACTGGAAGGGGTTGTAGGGTGGCAGTTACAGGAACACCAAAACATGATCGAGGTGTAACAGACATGTCACCTTGAAAACAAACCTGGTGGGTTCTCCCACCAAGTCCAGCTCTTAGAAGTGGCTGACTAGCAAAAACTGCTTAAAAAAAAAAAAAAAAAAAAAAAAAAAAAAAAGTGGACTTAAAGAGGCTGTTCAAAACAACATTTCACATAATATTTTTAGCAAATACTTTTTAAAACTGTCAGTCTCATTTCCCAAAAAAATTGATGGCCAGAAGAAAATACTCTTATTATTTAAATAAGCACCTATTAACTGAACTATTATTTCTGTGACAAGGCTGCGTGAAACATCTCTTATGTGAGATGCCACCATGGTGGTCTGGAAAAGCTCTAGGATGCCAGTAAAGTACCTGCAAGCCTCCTACAAGGGAGAGGCACTTGCAAATACAGGGTGACCTCCTTTCCACTAGCACTGTGCTCCTGAGCAGAACCTCTACAGGGCACCAGCCCAGTTCCCTGATGTCAATAAGCACTACAGAGTCCTATCAATAAAATAATTAAGATCCATCCCAAAACTAGTTACATTTTTGCTCCCTTTCCCCTGGCTGGTAAACTCTTCCCCAGCCTCAGTCCCCTGCTGATTTTTCTAATTTTCAGCTGAAATTTATTCATGGCCAGTGTATGTCTGTTAATGTGCCAATATTATCTTTCAGCGTTAAAAGCCTTTTAAATTCTCTGAGGTGTTTACCCTACCTTTCCTCTTTGATTTCATTATAAGAGCATGATCATATTCCCTCTTTGTCTTCATTCCCCTTGTCTAAATAAGGTAGCTCATCTTATAAAACAGCTTCTACACTCCCCTGGACTTCCCACTGCAGATCTGTCAAGTTCCAGTGTGAATTCACCTTTTTGGAATCAGACTGGAACAAAAATTTTGGGTGAGTTCTTAACTTAGTTCTTATTACTGCACCCAACACACACCCTTCACTTCATACCACCACATCGGTCAGTTCTCACTACTCAGTTCCCCAGCCATGGAACTCATATAGAATCATAGAATCATTAAGGCTGGAAAAGCCCTCCAGTATCATCAAGATCATCTATCAGCTAGCACCACCACCATGTTCACCTTTAACCCACGTCCTCAAGTACCACATATTCACATATCTTTTAAACCTCTCCAGGGATGGTGACTCCATGATCCCTGCCTTGGGCAGCCTATGCCAGTGTTTGATAACCTTCACAGTGAATAAATTTTTCCTAACATCCAATGTAATCCTCTCCTGGCACAACTTGAGGCTATTTTATCTTATCCTGTTACTTGTTACATGGGAGAAGAAACCAACTCCGACCTGGCTCGGACCTCCTTTTGGGGAGTTATAGAGAGTGAGAAGGTCCCTCCTGAGCCTCCTTTTCTCCAGGCTGAGCTGCCCCAGCTCCCTCAGCCACCCCTTGTGCTCCTTCTCTGGACACTTAAGCTCTTCGGTGACATTTTGTCATGAGGGGCCCAAAACTGAACACCGTTCATTCTTCTTTCTCTTGCAGATCCTTTTCTGTGTGGACAAAATATTTTGATTGCGCTCATCATCAAGATTTGCTAAACATGCCTTGGTATTTTTGTGTCCATAAGTGTTAAGTAAGTTGCAAGAATACCAATAGTGACCTTGAGACAAGTTGTGAGTCCTGCCTTCAGCACAACCTGTGGTTGTCTGCCAAAGAAATGCATCCTTTTTAGTATCCCTGTTTCCCCTAGAATACCAACTTCCTCACATGAAATTCAAATGATTTGCTCTAGATCTAGACCAAGGCAGGAAAATAAGCCCATTTTTATCTCATCAAATAAAGAACCCAGGTCAAGCAGAAGCAACTCAGTGAAGACCTGAGAGGGACAAATCTGATTTTTATTTATGCTTCAACATACGTTATGTTCTTAAAGGGGCTTTATATGTGCTTGCAACCCTGTCCTCAGGAAGGCTTCGCCTGGCAGTCAAGCAAGGCAGAGAAAGCCTCCACGGTCGGACCGTGAGCGACACACACATCCCCACGCCCCGCCGGCGAAGAATTCCCAGGAAACGAGACTGTGGGAGGCACGTGAGCACACAAAAGCTAACCGCAACACAACAGGACCCATTTTTTCTTTGGGCACCTTGGGGGGAGTGGGGGCTGGCCTGTAGGGTCCGCTCAGCCCTTCTCCCTCCTTCTCGCCTTTTCGTCCCCGTGGTCCTGCTTCCCTGCTTCACCACAAAAACAGCTTGTCACCGCCACGCCCTCGGTCTCTGCTGCCTCCGCACTGAAGCAGTCGCTGCTGCAGCCGGCTGCCCTCGTGCTTCCCGGGCACAGCCGCCGCCGGCCGCCGCACGAGTCTGCCCGCACCCAGACGCGTTCGCTGCCGCCGGGTTCGCTACCGCCCGCCGGCTCGGCAGCACCGCCCCGCAGCACCGCACCGCACCGCGGCATCGCACCGCCCCGCAGCACCGCACCGCCCCGCGGCACCGCCCCGCAGCACCGCACCGCCCCGCGGCACCGCCCCGCAGCACCGCACCGCACCGCGGCATCGCACCGCCCCGCAGCATCGCACCGCAGCACCGCCCCACAGCACCGCACCGCCCGCAGCACCGCCCCGCCCCGCGGCACCGCCCCGCAGCACCGCACCGCCCCGCGGCACCGCCCCGCCCGCGGCACCGCACCGCACTGCAGCACCGCCCCGCAGCACCGCCCCGCAGCACCGCCCCGCAGCACCGCACCGCCCCGCAGCACCGCCCCGCGGCACCGCCCCGCAGCACCGCACCGCAGCATCGCACCGCCCCGCCCCGCGGCACCGCCCGACGCACCGCACCGCAGCATCGCACCGCCCGCGGCACCGCCCCGCAGCACCGCCCCGCAGCACCGCCCCGCAGCACCGCCCCGCCCGCGGCACCGCCCCGCAGCACCGCCCCGCAGCACCGCCCCGCCCGCGGCACCGCCCCGCAGCACCGCCCCGCAGCACCGCCCCGCCCGCAGCACCGCCCCGCAGCACCGCCCCGCCCGCGGCACCGCCCCGCCCGCGGCACCGCCCGCCGCACCGCACCGCAGCATCGCACTGCCCCGCGGCAGGAACACTTAACCTTTTTTATGAACAAACAGTTCTCAGATATACTGTCGCGTTTGCGTTTATTTTCGTTCAAGAAATCCATTAGAAGAATCCTCACCCTTTTATAGCAGAACAGGACGACACCCTTTACTGCATTTTCTCTTTTTTTTTTCCTTACAACTTTCACTTATATGTGCTCTCCTGCCTGTCCCAAAGAGCTCAGACCACTGCCTTTCTCTCCAAAATGTCTGGTCCTGCTCATCAACTGTCGGGACACCTCTCAACTTGGAGAGCAATAAGTAAGAAGTCTTCTGTCACTTGCATGGCACGGGTGTCAGTTCTTCCCATCTGTTCACAGAATCACAGAATATTTATGGTCGGAAGTGACCTCTGGAGATCATTTAGTTCAACCCCCCTGCCATGGAAGGATCACCCAGAGCAGGTGACACAAGAACTCGTCCAGGGGGATTTGGATTGTCTCCATAGAGGGAGACTTCACACCCTCCCTGGGCAGCCTGTTCCAGTTGTCTGCCACCCTCAATGAAAAGAAGTTCTTCCTCATGTTGAGGTGGAGCTTCTTATGTTTTATTTTATGGCCATTGCTTCTTGTTCTGTCACTGGGCATCACTAGACAGTCTGGCACCATCCTCTTGGCACCTCCCTTTGAGATATTTTTATGCATTAATGATCCGTTCTCAGTCTTGTCCAGACTATCCATGTCCAGCTCCCACAGTCTCTCCTCAAAAGAGAAAGGACGTAGCCCACTCCTCACCTTTGTAACTTCTGCTGGAACCTCTCCAGTAGCCCTTTTTCCTTCTTGGGCAGAACTGGACACAGCACTCCAGGTGTTCCTCACCAGGGACAAGTGGAAGGGGCAGGGTGGCCTCCCTTGACTTCCTGATGCCCTCCAGGATCCCACTGACCCTCTTGGTTGAGAGGACACACTAGCAGCTCATGGACAGCTTGTCACCCACCAAGATTCCCAAGGCCTTTTCAGCAGAGCTGCTCTCCAGTAATTCAGCCCCCAAGCTGTTCTGGTACTGGGGATTATCCCTCCCCAGGTGCAGGACCCTACCCTTGCCCTTGCTGAACCTAATTTAGTTTCTCTCCACCCAGTTCTCCAGCCTATCAAGGTCCTGCTGAATGACAGCTCAGCCTTCAGGTATATCAGTCACTCCCTCCAGTTCTGTATCATCACCAAACCTGCTCAGGGCCCATTCTATCCCTTCATCCAGAGCATTGATAAATAAGTTGAATAAGTATTGATCCCTGGGGAATGCCACTCACTATAGACCCCCCAGCTGGATTCTATTCCACTCTTCACAATCCTCTGCCATTCTGCCAGTTCTTGATCTATCTCACTGTCCATTTATCTAACCCACATTGCCTGAGCATACCTATGAGGATGTTGTGGGAGACCGTATCAAAAGCCTTGGTGAAGCTGAGGTAGACACCATCCGCCGCTCTCCCCTCATCAACCATTCCTGCCTTGCCATCACAGAACGCTTTCAGATTGGTCCTAATGGGTTGTTGAGGGATGTCATTTGGGTTGTGATTTTTCTTCCCCTGCAGGAAATTTCTGTTTCTGTGTTTCTCCTGGATCAGGCTCCAGTCTAAGCCATGAATTTGCAGGTCATCTCCTCTCCTTATTCTTTTTCTTGGTCAGACAATATGTGCTGTGATGCCCAGCAGCCTGATGTGCCACAAACTTCTCCATAGCTCCACAGTATGTTTGTTTGCCTGTCACACATTTCAGCCATTCCCTGAACATCCTAAAGTTCTTCCTCAAGTTATTCACTCAGGTCTATAAGCTCTCATATAAGATCTTCTCTCTCATTCAGGATGCAAACTTCAGACAGTTCCCCTACCTTAAACATAAAAGAAACTAATCCAACAGCTCCTCCTGCGCTCTAATGAGCACCTGAACTCCTTAATTAGTTTCTCTCATTTCTAAAGATCTGTCCTTTTATAAGACCAAACTCTGCTAGTGAACCTGCTGATGTATTTTCCCTTTCAATTCACACCAATCTGCCTCTAGATCCCTTAGTCTGAAGTCCTCTTCTGAGAAAACACAAGAAGAGGTACAAGAGCAGCATCCTTTGGGGAGCTCCTGCTGTAACCTACCACTGCTCCCAAGCAGAAGAGATGTCACCTGGTAGTGGGAGATGCAGTGGTGACATTTTAAGACTTATTTTGACACCACCAGGTGACAAAATTAGAAAGAATCCCCCCATCCTGGTTGCAGTAGGATTTTTCCATTCCCAGTGTACCCAGTTAAGATTCCTGCAGTGGCCAACAACCTGTTTGTACTATCCCTAATGCCTGTCTGAGCTCTGAAGCAGCTTGGTTTGAGCATCAAGGTCTGCAGGCACTGGAGTCAAAAGGGAGAGAAGCCACATAGCTCAGAATACCCAGGTGCCTTCTAGAAGAGAGCCTAAATGGAAGGAAAGGGCTGATGTTTCTACTACCTACTCTGATTTTCTGGGTTCAGTGCTGTATTGTGGACTGATCACTCTGAACTCTGAAACAACCTAAGTGGTGTGGTGCACCATGCAGAAGTTACCCACACTTCCTCTGTATCCGCTTCATTTCTCTTAAGTGATAACCTGTATCCAAATCCTCCACCCCGTCCCAATTACAGAAACACCAAAAAAGCCACAGAAGTTAATCACTCAAAAAAGAGAAAGGCTAGATGCAAAAGTTATCCAGAAAAAAACAGAGATTTACAAAGAGGCTTCACAAAACATCAAGTACTGGTTTTCCAGCAAAGAAAATCAAACTTGCTCCATTGCACAGGTCGGACCAGTTACAGAAAGAACCCAGTTGCCATGAAAAAGGCTGTTCCATGAGACACTCGTACTTGTCTTGCTGAATAAGTGTGTAGCTAATGACGCAGTGAGAGTGAGAAGAAAAAGGAAAGCCTCATCTTTATGAACCTTTGGAGAACTAGATCCCATCCCTGCCAGCCCAGAGCTCCAGTGCAACACTGGATGAACCAGATAAGACAAAATCTTCAGAGGTGGCTGATAATTCCATGTTTGTTTTCCCAGTCCTACACCTGAGACACCAGGGATCCCACCTGCATACATGCCATGGGCCCATCATTTTAATCAGTTTAACTTCTGGAATAATTAAACACTTCCCACTTTCTGGGGAGAAGGAGTGGAATTAAATAAAACCCTCCAAGGTCAGTCTACATTTGGCAATTTCTCTCTTGTGTTCTTGTGCCACAGCAGGACAGAGCTCTGCCCACAGCCTCACTGGAGTGCTCCCCAGATAGATCTGTCATTTGATAGAAACTGTGGGCTGAAACAAGAGCACAAAGGGATCCCATAGAGAGGAATAGGATTTTGTATCCAGAGCAGGGTTTGGGGTCTCTGTAGCAAACGGAGCACACAGTGACTGGTGAGGATGAAAAGAAACACTGCTCCTCCACCAAACTAAGCAGGAACTCTACAGTACATGATGATGCAGTTACAGGCTGTATCCTGTTCCCAAGAACCAGAATTATGATGGCAGAATGGTTTTGGTTTATTATTGGGGTGTTGTGTTTGGTTTTTTCAATGTGAAGGATGAAAAAGAATTGCTGAAATTTAACGACCTAATTCTATGAAGACAAAGAGAAGAAAGCAGGGAAAAGGTGAAGCCTTTAAAAGAAAGGCTGCACTACAACACAAACAGGCATATGTGAAGAACCTAATCTTCCCACTGCCGATGAAGCTTCAGCTCCAGGCCCCCCACATGGGCCTCTGCTGACAGCCACAATGCCCCAGCAAATGCCAGCTCCTTTGCTGTACTTATACCCTGCTCTCTCCTCTTAACACCTCCATTCCAGGCTCAGCTGTGTGCTTTCAGAGGCAAAAGTTCATCAGTCACCAGTCACACCAGTCATACCCCAGCTCACAAGGGCAGGACAGATGCCTCTGTTGGCAATACCTTTTTAGGTACCCTATTCCAATCTGTGTCTGCTCTTGGGGATTCTCCACGCTGGACGTGGTGAGGGACCATGGGACCTTAACTGAGGGGCTTATGAGCTGGGCAGAAGTTCTCAGCCCACCTCTTGTGGCTCTGGTCAGGCTTAGACAGAAAGCAGATATCATTCATGCCACTGAGCACAGCTTTCCACTCACTATAATCCTGTGTCAGGGGAGCTCAATGATGTGACAAACTAGGACAGGAGGTCAAGCTGTGTCCTGATCACAGCATGTGAGGGCACCCTGTAATTTCCAGCTGCACAGGGTACAGCTAGCTCCCCTCAAAGACAAAGGAAAGCAGGTTACAAACAGCATTTTGTCCTTTATGACTTCTGCAAATCAGCATACAGAGTGCAGTTGCTTACAGAAAAGGAAAGCAACAGACCTCCCCACCAACTGTTGCCTGCAACACATTAAAAATAAAACCAAATTATTTAGTGGATGTTCTAGTCTTGTAGGCAACTGTGTGGTAAGAGTTGCAAAAATGACATAAAGCTGGGAGACAGCTGAAAGGGAAGTTGTTGACCAGGAACTGACAAGCAGGTAGCAGAGAGGTATTGGTGGTTCTGCTCAAATTTCCCTATAGAGCCTTGTCCTTGTTCCCAAAAAGGCTTTTTCAGGGTATGAGGAGTACCAGGTACCTCCTCTGGCCCAGGCTCCCATTGCAGGAGTAGTCTGACAGTGATCCTGATCTCCAGTTGCCTTCACTGCTCAATAGTTTTCACTATTCCCACAATCCAGCACAGAAGGACCTGAGACCACACATATGTGCAGTTGATGCTATGCAGAAGGCAGGTGGAAGTGCCAGGTGAGGCCTTCCCATCATCTGGTAAACCATGTGTATGATGCTACCTTGAAGACACTCACACCCCACCCTGTCCACACAGTTTGCCTATTTCAGATTTTTTACCCACTTTTCTGAGGCAGTCAGGAATCCCTCTTCTGCTGCCTCCAAAATTCTATCATGGGGCTCAGCTGTGTCACGCTCTGCATCAGCTCTGCGAAGCTATGCTCTCTGGGGGGAAAAAGATTCAGAAACACAAGACAAGAAATAAGTCAGTCTGAAGAAACTGACAGGTTCCTGAAGCAAGGGAGACTCTCTGAAAGATCTAAGTGAATAGCAAAGCTCATCCCAAGCACAAACAGCAGAGGAAAATCACTTTACTATTCTCTTTAAACTCAGTGAAAGGAAAATGTCTCATTTATCTAATAGAGCACAAAGCCATAAAGCAAGCTGGAAGTTAACACCAGGTTTGCAAGGCCACTGTTTTGTGTCAAACTCGAGTAAAAAAGAAGTTTTCAATCCCAAGCCTCAGCTGCACTCACACTGGCTGCCAGCCATTAATCCAGCCCTCCAGGGAGCAGTAGGGAGAGCCCTGCACAGCCACACCTCCTGCTACAGACAGAAATGCTCCAGGATCTGGCCAGCGCATGATAAACCTCCCACACCCGGATACAGGGCTGCTCTGTAAGGTTACCCACTCACTTTGCCAGAGGTGGCACCCAATTTCCTACCTGCTTGCCGTGGGGCTTCTCCACTGCCCTGTTCCCTTTCCAGCAAAGCCACTTTCAGCTCAGGATTCGTGTCCTGAAACAGCTTCAGAAAAGACACGAGGGTCTGAGTGTCCAGGGGCCAAGCATCCCGAGTGTCACTATCCTGGGTGTGAGCATCCTTAACTTTGCCCAGCAGCTTCTTGAACACTGAATGTTCCTCTGCCTTGCCCAGACAGGCATCCAGAGCCTACAGCAGAACAGAAATGCAGGAAAGTTTAGAGAGCAGAGTCAACTGCCCTATACAGACAGATACAACAAGAAGAACTCTGGAGTTTAGGTCAGGGGACAAAAAATTAAACTGGAAAAAAAAAAAAATAACCACCCAGACACACACCACTGAATGCAAACTCTGGCCTGTCACCACCCACCCTGGGAAGCAGGGCAACAAGCCCTGCTGCCAGCCCTTATCCATACAGCAAATCCCACAAACTGGAGCAGCCTCCAGCACCAAATGTTTCCTCATGTCCAACTAGACAAAGACCACTAAGTGTAAAAGACCTGATAAAGCATGAATTTAACACTGCTACTTTGGAAGGCAAAGCTAGGGTATTTCAAGTGGAACTTTCAGGAATCTCCATTCTTAATCACAATAGAATTCTGTCTCCTAGAGAAAACTCTGGAGAGAAGACACACAAACTCTGAGTGCCATGGGCTCTCAGCAGACCTGGCAATGAAACCCAGAGCTCCAAAATCTACTTCCGTGATCTGAAACAGCAAGCAGAGGCAGATGTGCTTGTACAGTTATGGAAATAAAAGGCAAAGAAATAAGCTGGAACTCTTACTCCCATTTCCCCAGAGTCCTTTAATGCTGTAAATATTGCCCCTGAAAACACATGCTTCTCCACTCTCCAGGAGAGATGCCAGCATTTTGCAGCAGGCAGCCTTTATTGGAGACTCCAGGGATTTGATAAAGGTACCTTTGAAGTGGGAAGTTCAGCTCTGCTCCAGGGAGAATGGCCATTTTCTGCTGTCATTGTCATTTTTATTCTGATGATAAAAAGGCTGTATGCAATTGCTTGGGGCCGCACCAGGGGCCCGACTGGCTTTTCCTAGCAGATGTAAATGCTCACACATTAGAGCAGCTCGGCAGTGCAATGACCTATTGCCACGCAGAGAGAAAACTGCAGCAGTCCCAGCTCTTCCCACTCACAGCAATTTGCCTGCCGAACAGAGAGTGTGGACGTGAAGGGCTCTGGTGTAAAGAAAACACAGGTGTGCTAAAGAACAAATGCAAAGGTTTTATAAAATGCAAACAATAATTTGTAATGAGACTTGATAACCAGATCATGTTTGTTCTCAAGGTTTATGTGCCTGGCCCCTTCCAGATCAAAATGAGCATTTAAAACACTAAATATCTCCAATCTCACCACCTTAAAGGTGTTCAGATCCTGCCAAATCCGTGTTTGCACTAATATGGGTGAAAAGTAACTTGCATTGTTGCAATATATTTTTCAATTTTGGGGGTTTTTAATAAAAATCAGTACAGCATTGCTACCCAGAGCCCCAGGTAACATCCCTTCCTCAGCTCATAGATTTGGTTAATAGAACTGAGTTTTCAATAACTGAAATATTCTGCTATTTATAGGCTCTTTCCAGAAGACATTTCCTTTGACACTTTGCTCAGTGGGAACAACAGCCTTTTAACACTGTTGTGAAAGAGCACACAGTATACTTCAGACTCACACTGAAGCACTAACAATTCCCAAAGATCCTGGAAAAAAATGAAGAAATACTGATACCAGCAGGAATCCCAGCTTCCACTTAGTCCTAATGTGTCCCCCACATTACAGCCTGATCCATCAGGCTTTCACTGCCAGGGACACTGCAAAACTCTTCATGGCCAAGTTGGTACCAATTAGCATACATCCAGCTTCCACATGGGAGGAAGAGACTGCCTTCTGCATCGGGAACCTGCATCACCAAGACCTGGCTTATGTGTCAGAGCTGTGCCACCAAACAGATTCCATACCACCCCAGACGTTTGGTCCCCATTGAGGATATCAGTTCTGGTGGCCAAAGCACTCCCCCCTCAGCACCATGGAACACATCACACACCATAGAACAGCCTTCCCAGTTAATCTCAAACATGCCCATGTCCACAGCAGCCCCATGGCAAGTTGTGAACAGGAACCTCTGCAGGTTAAGGATCCAGGAGATAGGTCTCCTGTCTCTATAGCATCTCCACATCTTCCATGTTTTTCCAGAGACTCAACCACATGTGCAAATAATGTACACCCCCCTGAGCAATGTGCAGTGACCCATAACTGAGACTAAAGAGGGATGTGAGGAGAGAGGGAAGGCACACAGCACAGTCATTAGCCCAGCTGGCCATTAACTCTACTCTGCAGGTGGATGAGCACAGTTATGGCTTTTCATGCCTTATCCATGCTCCTGCTACCACCATGAGAGCACATCCCAGCAAAAAGCCACTTTGTTGACTATTTCTGAATGATCTCCTTCAAGCATCAGCTTTAGACTGAATGCAAGCATCCAGATCTGCAAGAGATGGATTGGGAAGCACCTGTTCAGGGTGGCAGGAAAAGTTGACTCCCTTCAGACCTGAGAGATACTTTGGTACACTGCAGGAGGTCGGGCACTGTGGGGAAACTTCCACAGCCATAATCATCAGTCCTCTGTAAATGCACACTGCGTCGGGTTTTGATGTACAGAAGGTGATGAAAATATGAAAAAGCAATTGGCAACCTGCAGGGTAGGGACTGTTTCACTGCTGGCTCTTCTGTGGCTCCATGGTTATCCAGCCTTTGGAAGCTGGGCAGCACTGTTCCATAGGCTGCTGCTGCTCACAGGGTCAGTGGCATGGGCAATCCCAGGACTGGCTCCACACACCTCACCCTCAGAGAAGTCCCCTGGCTGTGACCCCACCATTAAGTCAATCAACCATCAGTCAACTATTATATTGTGCATACAATAATCAGACAAGAACTGTGTTCATGTTTCTCCTTCAGAAACCTAAAGGGATTTTTTTTTTTCAAGCCTGCATCTGTACATGACTTTCGAGGGAGACCCCAGGAAGGCTCTTTGGAAAACACTGACCCCCTGCTTGGTCCACACAACAAGAACAAAAGCTCAGCCCAAACTTGTACAAAAATGCACCAGAACAGAGGAAAAGAAAGTTCTCTAGCTCTGCCACCATGAAAAAAACCAAAACCAAATCCTCACAAGATCTCTCTCCTAATCAGGATGCAAAAGATAACAGGAAACTTCTTTCTTCTGCCTCATCCAGAAATCCCTGCAGCTGCAAATGAAAGGCGACAATGACTGGACAGGCCCACAGACAATGAAAATGATCCACAAACACAGTGACATTTATTCTACATGGGAGAATCAATGCTCCCCCACTTCATCTGAACCTGGTAGTAGAGGGAACAAATGAGCTGTGCAATAATTTGAATTGAGTCTCTCGAAGAGAGTACAGGAAGATAAGACTTGACATCAGCAAAGCTCTTCTGCGCTTCCCTAAATTACTGCAATTTCAGTCTTGTTCTCCTTTCCAAGCAGGTTTCATCCAAGCCAAAACTAAATTAGACAGGAATAGTTTATGTGAAATATACAGAGAAACTATAAAACAGAAACAACCCCAAAAATCACATCTCCCTAAACTGAAATGCAATTCATCTGCATTTTTCAGTATGGGGAGCAGAACAGAATATCAGACTCAGAGAGAAGCAATAGTTCTCACAAAAGCCAGCCCTGCACCACAAGCCTTGTTGGGGAAAAACCCCACAACCAAATGAGTCTTCACTGGAGGTAGGAGGAAATAGGAAGGAACAGTGGAGAGGAGCAGACCAGAGTGCTGCACAGAACAACATACCATGCAGGGATGAGTTCACCAGCAAAGGAAATAAATAGAGGGGCATCCAAGGCCAAATTCCACTAAAACCACAGGAGCCTGAACACCAGGACAGCCTTGGTGCCAATAGGCAGGCTGACAAAACTCCCCAAAACTGCCCAAAATAACTGGTGCTTTCCTAGAGAGATCAGCTGCTTCCAGAAGGGTCCCAAGAGAATACTCCCAAGGAATGGGAAATCGCCCCTGTAGCAGGGCAAGCACACCCAGCAAGAATGCTTTCTACATAGAGACAGTGTCTCACCAACTTCCAGACAACTTTCACTTGCCCCAATGCACTCGAGACTTCAAACAAATGACTAGCAAAAGAATACAAAGAAAGAGAGGGGGAAAAAATGAGAGGAAAAGAAAAAAAAAAATCCATTGACATCTACTGGCACAACCTCAGCCTCAGTTATACATCCCAGTTCGGCTCTTTGGAGCTGAACTTGCACTTCAAGCATGACTTTAAAAAAACACTGCTGTGTTTCCCCCCAAAGAAACACTAGGCTCTTGTGGGGAAAAGCTGCTCTGTGTGCTGAAAACAGTCTCAGTGCTAAGGTCCACAGGTCCTGCTGGTCCCAGAAGAGCAGTAATAAGAGAGGGACAGATCTGGCTCAGCTCTTGCTTATAACAGGCTGCAGCCTGTTCTCCCACTGCCCTGGGGCTGACACTTTTCATACTTGTCACAGCTGAAAAGTGATTTTTCAGGAAGCCTTAAAGAAAATACATTTCTTATTTATTCAGCACTTATTTATAGCTGCAGAAAAATTGTCCAGCTACCACTGTGCGGTCAGACACCCAAACTGGCTCTGAGCTCTACAACCTCTCCCTTGGCTCCTGCTGTAACAGCTCATTTGGAAGCACAAAAGGCCAGGAATGGATCTGTAAACCTTCACTAATTGGTCTGAAGTGGTGAAGGAACACGAAACGGCAGGAAACAGCACTGATGGCAAAGCAATGGCAAACAAAGCTGTTGTGCAGGGCAGAAGCTGCAGCTCACCTGCCTGGGCACTCTGCCAGCACAGCTCTGCCCTGCCACCAGCCGTAAGGGGAGGCAGGAATAGGACCTGTCAGCATTGTAATGAACAGGGCTCATGCCTTTATTAATGCTCAGCTCTTTATTAAAAAGATCAGCTGGGCAGGAGGCTCGACACCGAACTTGCCCCCACTGTTGTAGCTCTCGCAGGCAGCTGAAAGGTGAGAAGATGTTCAGAGTCTGTTGCTGAAGTCCAGCAGCAGCTGTCCCTGTGGTAGATAGGGACAGGCGGAGCGGAAGATCACCGGGATGTCACGGAAAGACAGACCCCTTCCCCCCTCTCTCTTCCCCGCTTATCTGTTAACCCCAGGAGTCAGAGAAGAATGTAGCCACACCTGTTCTGGTAAAATTCCACTACCCACTATCCTCTGAGACCCCCAACCCCCCTCTGACGTAGCAAAGACCCCTAAACCTATTTAAACCCACGAAATAGGATAATAAACGCTTTTCAACCGTCTGCCATATTGGTATCTGCGTGTGTTGATTAGCCCGAGTGGCTTGGACGAGACCAGGCCGCCGTGCTGCCACCTGAACCAGGCCCCTGGTTGTCTTTCATAAAGGCAACAGTCCCCTCTCCTTTCCTCGTAGTAACACCAGAAAATTCTTGCTTCTTTGTTCCGTCTTTCCACACCCCACTCTAGTCTTGTCCTCCAGAGGTTATGGCGACAGGTCAAATGTCGATCGGAGATGTTTTCTTCTTCCTCAGCCAGCGTATTGTACCTGTCCAGCCCCCTCAATTGTGTTTAGTTCTTCATTTAGGGGTGTCTTTACCCCCGCAAAACACACTCCCATGGTTCCACGGGTTCCTCTATTTGCATCTTAGCCCTAGAATGGCAGTGTGGGTGGGGGGTGGGCAGGTGATCTCCAGGTAGTTTAGAGAAAACAGAGCAATTAGCTAATTAACATTTCAATATAGGTACTTAACTAGAACCAGCAACTGTTCCAGTGTTGCCATGGGAACCAGGAAGGCCCTGTCCATCCGGGGACCCCGGGGGCACTGGGAACTTTCTTCATTACAAGCATGGGGGTATGGAGCTGCCAAATCCCTTCTGGCAGCACCGATCCACACTGCACAGCACCCACCCCAGCTCAGCTCCATTCATAAAGGTGCACAATACATAAAACCCTAAATCTGACACACTTACCTGATCATGGTAAAAAACAAACATACAAAAATCTAATCCTTCTCTGAACAAGGCACTCAGAAGTGCTTGTCTGCCCAACCAGGCTTGTGCTTGCTACTGCAAATATGAATTAGGACACACATCTCTCTCCTGAAGCCCCCAATATGTTATTATTCCCCAACATCAGGGCAACCAGCTGCTAAGGGAACACAAGCTTCCCTTCGTGAACATTTAAAGGCTCAGCAGAAAACAATCCTGCACTCTCCAACTCAAGGGAATTCTCCTCCCTGCTGTCACAAGTTTGGGGTTTTTTCCTAATAAAGATATACTCTTGGGCTTCTATAAGCAGAATGCCACAATGGTAAAAACATACCATGTCCTCTGATCACACTGCTACTGGAGGGACTTGGATCCAGACAGCTTCCAGACAGCAACAACATGGGAATTTAGAGAGCATGGCAGCTCCCAGCCTACGGAACAGCACTGCTCAGCTTCCAAAGGTTGAATAATCAAGGAGCCACGGAAGAGCCAGAAGTGAAACAGTAATACTTTTTCCCTTTCAGAAAGGCATGCAGAACAGTTCATGCAGCTTGGTATGAAAAATGCTCTACCAGAAATGGCTGGGCTGAGAACAGCAAGCACAGTCCCATCCTTGCTCTACACTGGCTACAGCTTTTCTGCAGACCCTGCCACTGCACAGCAGTGTGCAGCCAGCACGAGTGCCCACCTAGACTCACCACAGTAATTCACAGGCTCTGTGTCCTCCTGTTCCACTGTCACACCAGTACAGACATCACATTCTGCTTCTGGGACAATGGGTGGCATCTGGCTACCACAGCTCAGATCCCAGAGAACCCTTCGGCATATGCCCAGCAGCAGACTCAGTTACTCCCTCCAACAGGAATGGAGCATCATTTGCCAACTCTGACTGCTCTTAAAGCAGCACGTTGGCAGGAGAAGCACTATGGGGCAGCATCCAGCTCCCCCTGTCAAGCCCTGTCCCACTCCTCCGGCAGCAGCCGTACAGAGAGCAACAGATGCTTCACAGCAAGAGAGTGCCGAGGGCTTGGGAAATCTATTTTGGGATCTCATATGTCAGCCATTTACAAGTCGATACAATTACTGAAGCAAATGCCAAAAACGGAGGAGAAAAATCTGTGCTGGAGCTCTCCTACAACACAAGGATGTCTTCAGGGCAGGACATACTTCCTTACCTGCATGCCTGAGCAACTTGCACTTACAGATGCTTCTCTCTAGGGTGTTGCTCAGGTGAGCACATGTTGCCCTTCAAACAACCAGGCATGTTTCCCATGAAACACTTTCCTAAACAAGGCACAAAATATTACAGCCGTTAGTAGGGTTGTTATGAACAAAACAGCCTTGCTGGGACACTAACATTGAAATGTTAATTAGCGAATTGCTTCTGGGAACCACGTACAGCCCCACCCACACTACCATTCTAGGACCGGGATACAAAATAGACCAGTGGACTCATGGGAGGGGGTTTTGGGGATGAAAAACCCCTAAATGGAGGGCTGGGCACAGTGGAGGGGGCTGGATGGGTGCGCTGGTTGGGGAAAAGGGAACCCCATCCTTGGTCTGTGTCTGATCTGTCACCATAGCCTGCAGAGGACCAGACTGGACTGGGCTGTGGGAAGCAGGAGCAAAGGAACACTGTTCCTGGCGTTACCAGGAGGGAAGGAGAGGAGACAGCTGCTGCTGGACTTGGGCAGCAGGCTCTGCACATCCCCTCACCCTGCGGCTACCAGTGTGCCAGGAGGAAAGGAGAGAGGACGGTCTGCTGATTGGGACTTCAGATACAGAGTGCACACCTCTTCACCTCCAGCTACCAGTGTGCCACGGAGACTGCAGGGACAGACTCTGCAGCCTTCTCCCCCTTTGGCTACCGGGAAAGCTACAACAGCGGGGGTGAGCTCTGTGTCGAGCCCCCTGTCCAGCTGATCTTTTTAATGAAGAGCTGAACATTAATAAAGGTATAAGCCCTGTTCATTACAGGGTGGAGAAAAAACTTGCATGATATATGGAAGTAAAAACACCTACCTCCTTTTGAGAGGCATCAATTTCTCTGCACTCCTCAAGACTTTTCAGCAGAACCTGGGCATCAGAAAGAGCCTCAGAGAAAACATTTTCAGATCAAACAAAGAAATCCGTTTTATAGCTTTTGCTCTCTGCTGCTGTGCAATAGAAACAAGATGAGTTATTTGCTAATTGAATGGATTCACAGAAAGCATGATGTGATTGAAAGGCATCAGTTTGTAACCAGCACATTGGCTATAAAAGGAAAACTGTGATTTATAAATCCCTTCTGAAGACATCACACAGCCTGGAGGGAAAACCAACAGTTTATTTAACACAGTTATAAATGGAACATTTATTTTAAACTCAGTATGGCCTCTGTTTTCCTCCCAAGCTGAACAGGAGTTTAAAGGATAAGGTAGCATTAGCAAGAAACTCTATTCAGTTGCTGTTAGACATATTGTCTGATCAGCCGTATGTCCTGCAGTCACACAGATCCCACTGCATGGCAATCACATGCCTGGGCAATAAAAGTTTTGCTCACTATTGCTCTGGCAAAGCAATGAGCATGAAGCAACTATAAAAGCCAAAGGAAGAAAATCTCTGCAAAAAAGGGGGATATGCTGCTGTTGCTCCCAACCCAGGGCAAACTAAAAAAAGTAAAGAGAGACTAAAAATACCCCGACAGGCAAATGTGAGCCAATGTGTTGCAAATAAGAGGCAATTATGTGCGCAGACCCATGACATCTCACCTAAATCCCTTGATTGCCCTTTCCCCTCTGCTAGCTCAGCAAGCTCCTCATCCATACAGCCACTCCATTCAGCATGGGCAGGCTGGTCAGGGCTAGGGAGGGACCTGGAGTCACTCAACATTGTGTCCCGATGAACCCAGGTATGATTCACAGTAAGTTCCTGACCAGGAGGAGAAACATCTCCTTCCATTTCTGCTTCTATAGGGTAAAGGAGAAACGCTCTGAGTGAGGATGATAAATGTTTTTTCTTCATCAGGTCTTCCAGACTGGGACAGGTAATTAGCTTCAGCTTGGTTTCCAAATGAATCTGCTTCCTGGCTGGGGACTCCTTTCATTACCTGGTCATGAGCAGAACAACTTATGAGATCCCTGAGGAGGTTTTTAGAACTAACAGCCACATCAAACATCTGCAGACTATCTGCCACAGAGATAACTTCCAAGAGACTGTATTTCCCCAGTGCGAGTTTGCCACTGTACATAATCTCAAATAAGAGTGGAAGCTCCTCAGTTTTACCACAGAAGCATCAATGGGAGATGGTGTCTAGCGTGCTGTCCAACACGGATTTAAACAACAGGCTGGGAGGAACCAAAACCACCTTGTGCACGCTAAAATGCACATTCCCAATGAAGATGGTGCAGTCACAGAAGTGCTGCTCCTTGCAGAGAGTGTACAACTGGGTCAGCAGCTGCCAGCCATAACTGGGATGCTCCTACTGGCCTCCTCTTTCTTTAGTCTCCACACTGCTTTCACAAAGCCCAAATAATGAAAAGGGAATGGGTCCTGGTAGCATTTCTCTCTACAAGACAGAAAGAAATAGTAAGAAAATGACTTTTCAGTTTACATGTTTTAGTAGTCTACGATGCTTCAGTTCTTTGGTTACAGCAAGGTCCTCATTCTAAACTCACACTCCTCAAATGCAGCAACTTACTCTGACACCTGAGTCTAGATAATGTTCAAACCTAAATGAGTAGATATGGACTGAGTACTGAGTCCTAGGAGCTATAAAAATAGAGTAGAGCCTCCCTGATGTGCCACACATCTCACAGAGGTGTGAGTGCCCATCAGATCAGGCACTGCAGTGCCAGGCTGTGCCTGCAGCCAGGGGCTGGAGCTGATGCTGAATTCACCAGCTGGTTTCTGAAAGGGCAGGTGGGGAAGCTGTTGCAGCATGTGTCCAACCACAGGTGTTCTCGGTGCAACTAGCAGCGGAGCGGCTGGAGACGGGTCGGCAACAACACCCGAGGGATCTGCAGGGCACATGGGGAAAGCCTCTGGTCTTGGAAGCTCAACAAGGGTGTGGTCGAGTGGCACAGCAACAAGTAAGGGACGGGTACAGCTGAAGTGTCAAAACTGAAGATACTAATTAAATAAATAAAAGGGCACAAACAAGGGTGCAAAACAAAACATAAAGAGGCTGCTTCAGAAAACCCCGAAGCAGAGCCAACATGCATATATAGAGTCTCTCATAGAATGTAGTCTCTCAGAATGTTCTAGAAGCCTTCTGGCCAATCATGGGCTGTTGATCTGCCTGGCCACTCCTGACTGGTCCCAGAGTTTTTTGCGAGTCCTTTGCTCCACACCATAAGCTACCTGGATGTCATCAGTTATGGCTTTGTCTTTCTTGACACCCGATATTGGTTGTCTGGGGTGTGGCTGTGTGGCCAGTCCCTAGCCTGTTCCCTCCAGGACAAGCTTGCACAACTCCCCCCTCTTTTATTTAAAATGTAAAAGTATAACAATTACAGTAAAAATAATAGCCTTATTTTAACTAAAATGACACTCTACTTAATGGATTTTGCAATCAATTTAACGAAACTTGAGAACGAAAATATGTAGAATACTGTAAATAAACTTTACAACTAAACAGATGGGTTCTTGCTGCAAAGTTAAATCAATAAACAAATGGTCAACTGGACTAACTCCGAGGATCGCCCAAATAAACAAAATAATTAAACAAGTGGGTAGACTGGCCTAACTCCGAGGCTCACCCACATAATTAAGCAGGAAATATCGGCAATCTCTGCAACACGAATTATAACAAAAACCTGTTTTTGTTAATATATTTAATATATTAAAACTGCCAGTTTAATATAACAGGAAAGTGGGGGTAGGGTTGAGGGCTGATGGAAAGCAGGTTAGGGTAGAATCCAGGGCAGCGTGGCCAGTGCTGTCCTGGGTAGGGGACAGAAAAGGAGGGGAGATGGCAGATGGCAAGTGGCTTGCATGTGCTCTATGGCAGGTTCCATCTCCCATTCTGTTCTCAGGGTCAGTAGGTTAGGGAATGCGAAAACTGGGAAATGAAGTCTGTTAAATATTGTACAATTAAAATTAAAATTTAAATTATTGTTGCCCTATTGAAATGAAAAATAATCTCTTAGCATCCTGACAATGTAACAAAACAACAACACAATAAATGCATCTGAAAATAAATCAATTGTTTAAGAAGAATTCTAGAGGGGAGTGGGGGTTGATTATTTTGATCTTAAAGTGTTGATGTAATGTTTTAGCATCTTCTTTAGCAGCTTTTAAATGGAAGCAAGACTTAAAATTGAAACCTTACATCCCCTCTCTTCTCTGCTGGTCCTCACACCACTTCGCTCCCAAGTACCAAAGCCCACAGTATTCTAGGGCCTCACGCTGGAAGTCTCTCTGCGCCGTCCTCAATACCCCACATTTGCTGGGGGGTTGACGCTCTTCAGTGCCCTACGTTGGGTGCCTGCATTCTCCACCACTTGTTGCGGCCCATCTTCAGCTGCTCTGCTGCTAGCCCGGTCAGAGAGATCACCAGCAGTTGGACATGTGCTAGAACAGGAAGCAGGGCATGAAGACCTGTTCAGATCATCTACCAAGCACAGAGGAGAATCTGAGGTGTTAGTTGGAACTTGCAAAGCACTAAGCGATTTGGGACCAGTTCATTTTCTCCCCCAAATCACGGGTAAGATGAGCTGGACCATGTGAACATTAGAGACAGGGCTCTGCTTGCAGCCCAAGGCCTTCAGCACCCCCTTCTTAGCACACCATGGTCTCAGCTCATTCATTTATGAGTCTTTTCCCCTAAAATACAATTTTTGGGAGAAATCCATAAACCTAATCCTATCTACCAGAGCCCATTTTTAACTTCCACCCTTCCCCACCCCACTGCAGGAGGGAAAACAGATAGGACATCTGCTAATAGAATTTTTATCAGTGGGTCATCTGGAGTTTTTAATCTAAGATAGACAAGATAAAGATGTTACTGCCTTCTGCACACACTAGGATGCCTAACACTGGCATGATAGGCAAAACAGAACACTATGAGCAATAGAGAAAGAGCACCTGGATAGTCATGAATTACATGACCTTCAACACTTAACAATTTTGCACTCAGCTTCCTGCCCTCTTGTAGGTAACAGGACTAGTATAGCCTATCACCAGGCTATGAGCTTTAACCTGCCAATGTACATACACCAATCTCAAAGCTCTGCCTCACATGAAATCAGGCTCAGCGCAACTCCCAGCTTGTACCAAATCACATCATAAGCAGATATTGGGAGCAGGCTGAGCTGACATCTCACTTCTTCAAGGCACCACCTCCTCTGGAGCTCAGTTTTTGTGGGAAGCAGGACTTCCTGTCCACAGGCAGGCAGGACCCCAGCTGTCCTTCTGCATGGCACTGCCTGTGGTGTCTGTGGGAACACAGAGAATAGAAGAATAGAAGAGAGTAGAGACATCACCTCATCCCAGAGCTACAGAAGGCTGAACAACAAGGTTGGTTCATACCAGAAATGCAGGAGAGCTCTCCTGTGCAGCCAAGGGCTCTCTCAGGCTTTAAAGATGAAGTGCTATAAAACTTGTTTTTTAAGCACCAGGAGAAGATCACAAATGGTTCTGACATCACCTCAAAGCAGATGTGTTACACTCCTCAGTACTTCTGAGTACTTCTGAAGCAAGAGCACAGGGTTAGTGGCTCCTTCTCTGGAAGGCAGAAAAACCTGAGTGGGCTGATAGCCCACCCTCCTGCCCCCCAGAGCCACAGCTTTGTCAGGCACATCTCTACCAAAGGCTGGCTGATCTGCAACTCATCTATAGAGTTGCGGTTTAATACTTTATTGTATTTTCACTGTACTTCGATTTTAGAATGGTTTATCCCCTTGTACCCCTCTGTACCCCTTTGGTTTGTCCCTAGTTTTCCCACCTCTCCTCATGTGTCTATCACCCTAAAAGTGCAGAGTCATTCCCCTGTCTCCTCACAGGTGCCTTGTCCATCACTCGGCATCCCTTCCCTTACACCTGGAAGCTTCCATCCAGGGCGTTGGGTGGTTGGATGAGGGCCTGGGGCCCTCATCCCCTGTTCCTCCCCCATTGGATACCATAGGTGTCAGTTTGTACAAGAGCCATTCCCTACAGTTTTCCCATTGGCTAGTCTGTTCCCCGCCCTCTCTGTATTTAATCTGTGGTATGCACCTCCCTGGTGCTCCTGTCAGCAGGTTGTGTTCGAGTGTGGTTGGGCTCTTTGGAGTCTCAATAAAGCTTTGAAGTTCTACCCCTGACAAGCGACTCTCTGTTACTTGATGGTGGGGTCAGCTATGCCTCAGGACGCATGGAGGCACTCCCTAAAGCCCATCTGGGTCCCGCAGGGAGTGCTTCTTGCTGCCCTACTCACCTCTTGGAGAGCTAGCCAGGGCTGAGTGGCTTTGAGATCTGTGGTCAGGGCGAGGACGCGGCACTCATCTTTCCAAGTACCAGATCCACCCCTTCCCCCATGCACAAGGCCAATCACCTGTACTTCCAGTCAATCCAACACGCAGGCTCTGCTCTCATCCCACACCATTTTAAATCAAAAGGAACCAAGCTGCCATTAGCAGAGTTGCTGCCGGTTGTGGGAGAAGAGACAGACCCGATTGTTTTGCCAGACTCCATGTAATAGTGGTTTTAGTCCACTCACTCCTTCCCTGGAGGACTTCAACTAGAAGTTCTTCAGATGAGTTGAAACTTCGTCTGCTGGTTAAATAATAATAGCTACAGCTCTTACTACAAAATGATAAACAGGAAAAATGTCCTGGAAGAGACATCTGCTCACTTTGCCATGAATAGCCTCCTGCATGAAATTTATTGCTTGCACTCCTGGCAAGCACTGTCTGCTCCCTCTATTCCTGGCAGGAATATAGAAGACATATTTGCTCATGAATGCTCAAAACAGTGAAGCTCTAAGCAGCCTGCTAGCATGTCACCTTCTTCATTACAGCAATGCAGAGAACTGGAAAAGGTGTCCTGAGTAACTAGCACAGACATATTTGTTTAAATACATTTTATTTCTTTAATTATAGGGACCCAAACCATTCAGTACCATCAAAGAGAACAGGCATTTATAACAAGGGGTGTTGGCCAAGACCAGGCCCAAGGCATTTGCACCCTATTCAGAGGACCCAAGAGCCAGAGGGAACCACCATCAGCAATCTGCTTGCTCATTCATCACTGCCTCCCAGATTTCCAGGCTCAGTAACTTAGGTTTGGCTAATGTCTCTCTTCCAGTAAGGAGCCCAGTCATGATAACTGACTTTTAAGCGGAGTACCCTCCATCGCTACACTGTTAATTTACGCCTTGCTTCTCACCCAAGTTTGTGTGACTATGTCTCCCAGCCATCCTCTAGATGACTTTTGCGAGATTTGGCTGGGGGACTGGGAAGAAGTGTGAATCTCTCTCTGAGAGCAGGTAACTGATACTTCAGCAGCAATAGTTGTCATCTGCAGCTGCTCTCAGGATACCCACTTCAGCAGAGATTTCCCTTTTCCTTCTGAACTGCAGAAGTATAGGAGGTCCAGAACATTTCTGCAGAAAACATCACCCTCCACTGTCCAGTTTCAGCTCTTTATGCTTTTTTTCCACTTATTTCTTCCTCCCACACCTCCATAGTTTGAGGCTATCATGTTGTTTTTTTTTAAACTACATTAGAAGAGGAAAAAGATCCTCAACAACAGAATAGATAGGCAGCAACCTTTCTTTCTTCGGGGAAGTTGAAGGAAGAATGAAGGAGGAAAGGGGATACCAGTTATACCCACAGAACTGAAAAGTGTGCCCAAATTAAATCACTTCTCTTCATTATTCATGTAATTACTTGCACCTAGATCAAACAGACTCAAAAGCCATGCACATCATCAGGTCCATTAAAAGATAATTGAAATTTAAGACCAAGCATTTAAGCAATCAGACTCTACAGAGACAGGTGCTCCAAAGGTGCACGGATGAGACTATCCCTCCCTCACAGTTCCTGCTGCCACAGTACCCATACCTTCAGAACATCCATCACAAGGCACAGGAAGAAATGTAATGCCTCTAAGGTTTAAGCAAAAGGATTCTGTATAACCCTTGCTATATAATTAAGGACTTTTACAAAGTGTGGTCAACACAGCTGCTGTCATTAGTAATGTTAACAACAAAAGCTCTTCCTGTATCCATTTCAGTGGCTAGATTGAGGATGTATTCCGTGTCTGAAATTCTCACCAGAGATGCACATGGAGCAGGCTTTTTGCAGCTTTAAAAAAACAAACAAAAAAAATCAAAAACCCAACAACTGTTGCCTCACTGCCAAATGATGAAGCTGTCCAAGCATACTTGTTCTGTGTGGCACAGACCCACAGCCTACTGCTCTGCAGCAGCCATAGAGAGACAGGGAACTTACAGTGCTCACATGGATAATGAAGCTGAATAAAATCACCCTGCACACCCGGTGCAAAACTAGAAGACAGGGAGCTCTGTGCAAGCTCTAAAAAGCTAAAATTAAGAAGGAAGGGGGAAAAAGAGGTCAGAAAGAGATAAGCAAAATGAAAGAATCCAACTTTTCTGTCCTCAGTTAATGCCACTTTTGTTGGAGCTCAGCAGAGGGGCTCATAGGAGCACTCCCACAACCCTCCTGTTCCCCATACTCAACTCTCTGCTTGAGAAGCTAAAATCCAAAGTGGTCATTGCAGAAAAGTGCTTGCCAGCCCAGGAAGGCTACCTGCCCTGTGAGAAGAGGTCGCCACATCCCAGCCCATTTGAACTCAATCAAAGGCTCATTTCACAATCCTCACCGAAATCAGTGAATGAAGTAGGACCAAAAGCTGGGATACACCTCTTGTGTTGCTCAGGCCTGAAGTCCCTTGGGCATGACAGTGGCCTCAGAGGGAGGGGGCAATGTTCTCTTTTTAGCTCTGGGGAGGTAAGAGCTGTGACAGCCTTAAATCACAATCTGAATACTTTCTGCACCTCTTTACCTGTTTCCTGTTTTCTTGTTACCAAGATGATGATCTTACACTGAGGGTTATTGGAAAGCCAGAAAATCAAGGACTGCAATTCAATTTTCTTACCTCTCCCACAAAAAGTAATTCAGCCTTTGAAGTGCTGAAAGAGGCTAAGGGGTCATTACTTGTCTCTGGGGTGCTCCAGAGGGGCAGAACAGGCAGCTCACCCAAAGGATAATGTGAAATCCAGCACAAGGAACCAGGGCATACCAATTTGTTTTTCAATCTATTTTGTTGCAGTTCAGATCATCAGTGCAGACTAGTAACAGAGGAAAATAAGCAACACTTTGACTAAATTCAGCACTCCACAGTCTTTAAAGGCAGCAGAATATACCACTCAAACCCCATACATTTTGACTGTCTGTCTGCACTGATGCTCTGAATAGAAATACAATAGATCAAAAAACAAACAGCTACGCTACAATTCTTAATGGCAAGTTTTCTTCAAACCAAGAGTTGCCCCAAAAAGCAAAGATCATGCAGTAGAAAACCTGCACAAACCCAAAGAAATAGCCACAGTTTGCTCCAGTCACTGCTCAGCC